CCACCAAGTCTTGTTTATTGTCGTCACCTTATCGTCGCCATTTCAGACGAAGCCTGGGATAAACTTGCAAGACCCAGACTGATCAAAAGTGGCTTCGCGAGTGGGTTCCCCCTTCGCACAATACTCCTACCATCAAAGCCGTTGGCCAGTACAACAGGCTTCTTAGCCTTCAGCCAAATCAGCTAAAGGGGTGTTTCTCCTCAATGACAACACAGTGGTTCCGACTGGGTTTCAACCTTGCTTGACCACCAGCCAGGCCGGGGTGTCCTGTGCTTCGTATGCTAGGCTGACTCAACATGTATACTCAAAGTTTCTGCTCCGTTGATGAATCATTGATTTGAAAACAACCGGCCCGCCGTCAGGACGTCCTTCGGGAATTTTTCTTGTTTTCCATACCGATGGTGTCCAGAAAAGAAGTCTAATCTCAACATCGCTTCACCGTCAGCGGAAGAGTCACTCATCTCTACTTTCTTCTATGCTAGGTTCGTCACGCATGTTCTATAAGGCTCTGTCGACCGTCACCAAGGTCGATATATTCTTTATTACGATGATCATGCCTAGTCCCAATCGTTAGCTAGGCCTAGGGGATCCTGCGCTCTATTGCCTCCTGGGGACTCGCATCGAATGCTAGCCTATGCCAGCTCTTTCTCCTTCGGTTTTCAAACTCTAAAGATTTGCTAAAGATCTTGTTCATGTCATTTTGCTCTCGCTCCGAGGTGTCTAATAGACGAGGTCCAATCTCAACTTTGGATGTCCACAAGGATCCACAAGCCTTCTTCAAGATCCCCCTTTTTGGTTCAAGTGATGATGCTTGACAATACGGCAACTTGTCATCGAGAACACACGCATCCGGCGAATGATTTTGAGGTCTCGCGCTGTTTGAGACAAAGAGCGCGGGGAATATTCAAGTTAGTCTTGGTTACCCCAAACCATGCGCAGCGCCCTCTCGGCAATAAGGTGCCGGGTCATGTGCATGTTCAAACGGGATATTTCTCATAGCCTCGGATACTTCGTGCTCGTCGTTTGGCACAGTGAACAAGAAGACCTTGATGATCTTTACTTTCTCCTGCCTGTGAACCATCAAATTCTACCTCTGCAATTCCACAATTAATTTTACTTGCTTGCACATGACCGGGCCTGCTGATCCAGACCCTGGTGGAGTTCTTCGAAATTTTGGTTGTGCAAAACAATATGCAAAGCACTGTAAAGTTATTATTGCAATTCTAGGACAAATTACGGTTGCGGTGGTGAAGCCTGGTGAAGCTTGGTGAAGACTAGAACAAGGGCAAACAAGGGCGAACCTGAGCGAACGTTGTCGTACGTGCCTGTATTTATGATTATCACCCACCTTCGCTGACCTCAAAGGAGCTGTGAGGAGCTGTGTGACCCAATTTGCAAAAACACCCCCTCGGAAGCTATCAGTAATTGTCAACCTTGTTCTTAGCGCACAAACAGGTTTCCATCCGGCGCTACGGTAGGATCTAATCATTCTCTGGAAAAGACATAGTATCGATTTGGTATCGATATCCGTATGTGTGCTGTTGAATGCTGTAGAACTTATAATTACTCCACATTTTCTTTTGTATTTATCCCACTCCCCTCCTCGCCTCTTGCACCTTCGCTCTTGGGTGGTTCCCTCGATATTGATTTGCATAATCCCCATGCCTGTAACTCAAAGTCAGAAGCTACCGTCGTTACCGTCATTGAATGGCCCATCGTCGTCCTTGAAAAGTCCGACCCGCCGGTTATCTGTGTCGCTGTCGCTGCGCTACAATCCAATATCAGTCAGCACCCGATGTGATGTCTCCATCGCAAGAATTCACAAGGACCGAGGCTCGCTCGCATCGCCCCGTGGCTCCTCCAAGACCACCTCAACCTGGTCGCTTTCGTCCATTCCTCAACAATCCCCTGTACATGGACGAGCCGCCACCACGCCGATCCAACGCCCTCTCAAGAGACGAGTCCCGGTGAAGCTGTCGCAATTCCCATCAGGATTGCCGACGTTGCCCTCAACCAGCTTGCCCCCGCTCCTTGGCCGACCATCAAGCAAATGTAATCAGGTCGCTACCCAACTCCCATCCACACATCAATCTCCAGTGAATGATTCACTCTTCGCGCCCTTGCGCTTGCAACTGCCGCCAGGAGGAACGAGCCGAGGTCATCTTTTCGAGGTTCGTGCTTTTTTTTTTTTTTTCCCGACTGCAGAAGCGATGAAAACGCTACCTATGTAGGTAGGCGACAGGGTGGTTGTTCAGAAATATTATGAAGAATATGCTATGCGGAGCGAGAGAATGCAAGGCAGAGTGCGTCGACCTATACTCCATCGTGGCCCAGTATGTATACACCACTGTCGATAACACGGAGGTATTAACGCAAGCACAGCCAGGCCACGATCGATTTTGCTGGAATTTTTTAGTTGACGCGGATAATGTCCAGTGCTACGGCAAAGTTGGGGACGAAATGTGGGACACGAAGGGGCGGGTCTTACCCATCAGCGCTCGCACTCTACATCCAGGCGTGCGTTTTCAAAGAAACCGAAATCGATCCATTGCCTAACGCTTCGGTCGCTTCCAACAGGACCGTGTATATGCTCGGCTTTCTCAGAGATTTGTCAAAGAACCGGAAATCATGCTGACGTCGGTCTGGGTACCCGCTACTGCAGTCGTAAGTTGCTTGGCCTTGGTGTATCATCGGTGACTCACCCAAGTTTAGGAAACGGACAGCAAGGGCATGTTGCCTTTGGTAGTGAGACCAATCAATGGACAAGACCGCGGAATGGATTTCCGGGTTAGCTGTTACGACGTCTTGCCCTTCAACACATCTTCAAGAATGCTATGCCAACAGAGTGGCTGTTATGTGATCGGGATAGGTGGAGAGCTGTACCCCCCTAACCCACTGGGCAATAAGTCCAATACTCCACCCAGACCGCCACCGCGGTTACTCAGGCCGCATTCGAATCGTCGAATACCACCACCGTAGAACGATATTTTCGTCAGTATTTAAGCCTTCGGCCTACACTTAGTGTTTAATAATCACGCTCATAATTTACGCCTTCCAAGAAGTCAGACTGAGTAGCCAGATAGATTCGCTTTCTTCGACCTTTCGAGCTATTTCAGGTACGTGTGCGCCTTGCCATCCATATGTCATAAGCAAGCATGATTGAGAATGGTTTGGCGTGGAGCTAGGCTCCGCTCTCATCAAGTGGCTTTATCACCTTCCGAAGGGCTGGTGACCACGATGAACTGGAGGAGAATACAAGCGTCTCGAACATTCCGATGCCAGTAAAATGTGGCAAAGACATTCACAAGAGCCAGAAACGCAAGAGGAACCTTATGACCCATCTTCATCTCGGACGAAAAGAAGAGTTCCTAGACCTAGACAGGAAAACCAGATAATATGGACGGGCATCGTTCCTTAACGAAGTCGTTAAGGAAAAGGACGTGGAACGTTCCATTCTGGTGCTTTCAGCTGCAACCTTGATTATACGCACCCTTCGGAAATACTGGGAGTTGAGGCCGAGGTTGTAAGTTGAGCTGGCCCAAGTAATAGAGCACCTGGAATGTCGGACGAACAAGAAAAACACTAGACTCGAGCCAAGTCCCTTTTTGTAAATTGAAGACAGTCGTTCAATCTATTATGTACCGTGGTCCGAGTCTAGAAAAACACCATCGCGCGAGCAAGACATCATTTGTGGGAAAAAATTGGTGATGAGCAGACGATTCAGCCAAACACATTTTCCCAACATTTTCCAACAGCGACGAACGATGACCTCAATTCAACCTTTCCAAACTTCCCTCTCAATTTTTTGCCCTAAATAGCCTTGAGCTCGACCGGTCAATGTCCTCGCATAGCAGGGGCGAATTCACATAGATCTCAGCTCGTTCCGTGCATATGCTTTTGGCTTTTTCTGATGTGCACTTTTGTTCGCCGAGCACTCGCTTTCAAAGCTCCCTCGAGCTCTTGCGGAATGGAATGAATTGCCAGCTGGGTGGGATCCAAACCACTTTCTCTGTGGAGCCTCACGAGTTGATGAACGAACGTACAACCTACAAACCTTGTGCAAACCATATCCATTGTCGCCACACCCCTCAAAGAACTTCGCTCAAAAAGTGGATGATCCACCGCGGATTTGTCGACCTGTCATGTACAGTTTTTTTTTCTCAAGTCGCCTCACCGGTCCAGCCTAACTTACTTTTGCTCTTTAGTGCTCCGAAGGCGTTCGCGATAGACCACAACATCAAAATTGGGCGCTTCTTCTATATCACAACGTGGCACCAGAAAAGACTCAAAGATGCGGCAGCTCGGACATAACGTGCTTTTCAACATCTTCACTTCTAGACGCTCTCCCCAGGTCGAACACACAAAATGGATTTGGAGGAGTTCGATGGCCTAGATAAAATAGCGCGCAACCCTACTTGGTCAAAAACCACCAACCTGGATCCTGGCAGTATTCTTAAGGAGGCTGACGAAAAATGGTACATAAAAGCATCCCGTGCGGCTCGATGGATGGATTTGCTGGGAGATTATGCTGGTAGTGAACCGTTCATCATCGATGGTACGATTCACCATTTACATAGCTTGCCTCCACTCTCTTACGCGTCTTTCAGGTGAATCCCTCTTGCAGATCGTCCTCGATGATCCTCTGCTTGCGATTGGTCGCGAAGATGGTGAGTTAGATTATCACTTGCCTCTGAGGCTGTTCATGATATTGGGATTTAGAATGCAGCTTTCAAATACTCCACGCCTACCACAGTCTTGAACGCCTTTTGGCTGAGTTTGTCCAACGGTCTGCAAATTTCGACATCGTTTTCTGGAGCGGTCAGTGTGATCCCTATGTGAGAGCTGTGCTCACAGCTGATATACAAGCATGACAGTCAATCGACATCTAACTTTGAAAACGGGCGATTCGCAGTTCATAGTTTCATCTAGATCCTTGGCGCGGGTGTTGCTGTTCAACCATCTCTTGAAGCTGGACATTCCAGTGCACTCTTTTAACGATCTAGATGATCCTCTATGGAAAAGATACGAGGCGATCAAGAAGGTACTGTCTTAGCTGAGCGTATCTTCATTTACTAAGAAACCTTGCAGCCAATGTTTGTTATGATGAACGACGGCGGACTATGTAAGGATCGAAGGCCGTTTGCTGCTCAAATTATCTTGTGTCAACGTATCTTTTTGTTCAAACTCCTCAATCGAGGATCTGCGGTAACCCTTCTAAAAGGTGCAGAGTATCGCGATTCAAAGGTGACTACTGCGATCACTCTTCACTTGTCAATCACCAACACAGCCTGTAGATCATGTCGTTTGTCTATGAACCGAGGTGGAACATTCACGTGGATGATGTGTTCCCGGAGGATTCATTCTTAAAAGCACAAACATCTTTAAACGACCGACTGTCCCGACAAGCTGGTTGCAAGCATGCCCTACTCTTCGTCCCGGACCAAGATTCAGTCCCAACATCCACCACCGAAGTCGTCAACCAAATTTCGCAAAGGCTATTAAAGGAATTACGCCGGAGCGTTCGCCCGGAGCTCCTCTACCTATTCATTGTTCACTGCCTCTTACTTCCGTCATTGTCAGTGCGCGAACGAGCGCGATCGCTAGAGGCTCTTCCTCTCGAGATCACGTCCATCTTATCCCAAAAACTCCTACCCACATTCTTCTTTGACGCCGCCCAATTCCTATCGTCATCTCATGCCGCATTTGATTTTGATGGACGAGTCTTTATCTCTATGATTAGATTTCTCCTGTCCAATCACTCTGTAAATGTCGAGGACCTCATTGGGCAGGCACTGTACCGGGATTCTCAGCGGATTTGGCAAGGGCTAGGTCTACCTTTACCCAACTTTTCCAGATTTGCGCTACTGTTCCAGATTCCTGTTCTTGTTGCCGAGCCAGCGTCAGTCCGACCACACATCCGGATACAGAGGCTGGAGGAGCAGAAGGGGGAAGGAGGAGAGCATGACCAAACTCAGGGTCAGCAGAAGATAGACCAGGATCAGCGGAAGCAGGACCAGGAGGAAGACAGGATGGAGGAAATCGAGCAGAAGGGGGAATGGTCGTGGGAGGACGATGACGACGACGAAGTGAACGAAAAGGAAGAGGGACAGCAGGTGAAGGACGTGACGGAGGAAGAGGAGGTTGGATATTTCCACCTTCTTCCTTTTAGCAATCCCGTATTCGACGAGGAGCTATCTTTGGTCCGGGTGCCTGTGAAGGCAAGCGTCGAGCCCGACCCACTCGGATACTCGGACTTTGGTCAAGGAGTCTTGTTCTCGGATACACAGCATTGGCACAATCAAAAGGCCATTTTGCCCAGTCATCTTGGTGGCGAGACCCCGAAGCCAGTCGATGAGCGGATGAAGCGTCGCCACCTCAGGTCCGAGCAGCGTTTCATGAACTCGCTCCAATCACAAGCAGCCACCATCATGGGGGCAGCGGGCAAGACTCTGCAGCAGATCGTTATCCCCGTTGTAGGGACTCGGGTTTCATCTGTGGGTCACCTTCAAAACATGAAAGTGAGTGTTTACGAGCCTAACTCTAAAACACATGCTGAGGTTAGGCGCATGTGCAGGAACAACGGGGAAGTAAGAAAGACAAGGCTCCAAAGTTATCATCAAAGGACAAGCTGCTGCAATCGATCAAGCAAAAGAAGGAAACCATTCAGGACGACTCTTCTCAAACGTGGTGGAAAGAGAAACTTGCGTCTCTTTCTGGCATGACGCTGTCTGAACGGATCGAGGTGACAAAGGCTCTTTTCCGCAACAAGAGGATGGACGAGGGCGCTTTAGCCTTGGAGTTTCGGCTTTACAGACTCAATCTCGAGCTTAACAAGTGGATTGAGGAGCCTAAACGAGAGTCGCCTGCCATCCGAGATCTGTATACAGTCTCTGTCATGCGGATGGTGAAAGATATCGCCGATCGAAATGCCATTACAGCGACAGCAGCGAAGATCCTTTCCTCCGTTTTGACTGCTCTCGGTTTCGACAAATTGGTTTCTCGTCTGTCACGAGAAACAGATGGATTGCAAGATCGGCCTTTGAGCTTCCCATTTGTCAAACTCGTCAAGTCGAAAACGAATACCCCATACTATAATTTTATGTCAATCACAGAGCATCCCATTGTTTGGCAGCTGCGCCTCTTTGGTGAATTCATGGACCGAAGCATGGATAGTCAACCTGATACACGTGTTTCATTCGATCCCGATGGATGGCAACGTCAAGTGTTGGACTCCATTGACAATGGTCATTCTCTTTTGGTTGTTGGTACGTGTCTTCCTTAGGCTCAGTTGGAACTTGTTCTAACTGTTCCATAGCTCCAACGAGTGCAGGAAAGACGTTCATATCATATTATGCGATGGAGAAGGTTCTGAGGGAATCGGACGACGGAATTCTCGTTTACGTGGCGCCGACCAAAGCGCTCGTCACACAGATTGCCGCCGAAGTATATGCACGATTCAGCAAGAGTTTAGTGGGCAGTGAGTCACTTCATGATTTGAGAGCATCAGAAGTCCTAACATTATCATCAGAGAGTTGCTGGGCTGTGCATACGCGCGACTATCGGATTCATGACCCTCTGAAATGCCAAATTTTAGTAACGGTTCCGGAAGTGTTGGCGATTATGTTGCTCTCCCCGCCACTTGCTCGTGTATGGACCCCACGAATTAAGAGGTACGGGATGACATAATGACGTCTGTATCGGAGAAGCGCTGATAGGCCTTTGGTATAGAATTGTGCTGGACGAGATTCATTCGATCGGCCAGCAACAAGGAGGTGCTGTGTGGGAACAGATTCTCTTGCTGGCACCCTGTCCTATCATGTATGTTGTCACACGACGGATGTAATATGTTTTGCTAATACCTCGCCTATCGTTTTAGCGGTCTTTCAGCTACAATAGGCTCCCCAGAAACCTTCAATGCCTGGCTCCAGTCTGTTCAAGAGGCTCATGGATTCGAACACGCTTTCATTGAGCATCCACATCGTTACTCTCACCTGCGCAAGTTCTATTATGCAATTACTAGCGGAGAAAGATTTACCAGTTTAGACGACCACCAAGCGACTTCGCGTAGCAGGTTCCTACATCCTATCAGCATGCTTTTCCCAGGTATCCGGTCACTCCCAAATGATCTTTCACTGGAGGCCAAGGACACGTTATCCCTTTTCTACGCCCTACGTGCAATTGAAAGTAACATCATCGAAGAAGATCTACAGCATCTGGATCCGGTCAGTTACTTCCGGGCAACGCAAGGGCTCCTTCGGCAAGCCGACATTTTGAATTACGAATCAGAACTGAAACAACTCCTCGCAAAGTTAATTGCATCGTCAGACCCGAGAGACGAAATTTCACCCTTGACCAGTGTGATTCGAACTCTACGGGATCCAGTGATAGCTCAGATGTCTCTTCAGGAATTGAATTCTACGCCGTCGCGGACGAACTTCAAAGAGAGCCTGATAGTTCTATTAGCCGATCTTCATGTCAAGGAAGAGCTGGTAAGCAAGCTGCTCGCCAGCAATCGCCCGCTAACAGAATTCATCCCACTTCAGCCCGCGATCTTGTTCAACTTCGACCGCTCTGGCTGTGAACACTTGGCGCAAATTTTAATTGAAACATTAGAACGTGCTGAATCTGACTGGCGAAGGGAGAGCCCAGAGTGGAAGCAGAAGATTAAAAGATGGGAGGCCTGGAAGCATCAAGCGAAAGATCGCGAGCGAACAGCAAAAAGGCTGATGAAGCAGAAGAAACCCGATGGGGAGGATCATTTGGACGTCCCCACCCCATCTTGGGAGAGTTCCTTTGACCCGTCCGACCCTTCGCAGGCGTTCTCTTTCACCTCCGTCCACACATCCTATTCGAAGGCAGAGCTTGCAAGGGACATTCGAAAGATATCCTTTGCTAACATCCCGGAGTGGGCCATCAGCGCCTTGAAAAGGGGAATCGGAGTCCACCATGCCGGAATGAATAAGCATTACAGGAGTCTCGTGGAAGGGTATAACACGATACATTTATGACAATTTACTTTGCTGACTGCACATTTCTTAGGTTGTTTCGACTGGGGTTTATCCGTGTCATCATCGCAACGGGTGAGGGCTAATCGATTGACTAGCAATGCAACGTTAATTCGTTCTTAAGGCACTTTGGCATTGGGTATCAACGCACCCACCAGGACATCCGTGTTCTGCGGTGACTCGCCATATCTGACCGCGTTGATGGTGTGTTGGCTATCCCGTCCGCTTCTCAGTTGGTCGTGCTCAGTCTGATATAGTATCGACAATGCGCTGGTCGTGCCGGTCGTCGCGGATACGATCTTTTGGGAAATGTTGTGTTCTATGGTCTTCCCATGGACCGTATTCAACGTTTGATTCTATCGAAGCTTCCTTCATTAGGTGGAACCTTCCCACTGACCTCCACGATGATATTACGGCTCTTTAACCTGCTGGAGGGTTCGAAGTATGCACCAGTAGCTGTTAAGGCCATAAAAAGCATGCTGTCCCTTCCTCGCATCGGCTTTGGATCCGATCTAGGGAGGCACCAGCTTCTCCATCACCTGCGGTTCAGTATTGAGTATCTCAGGCGCAGCTATCTTGTTAATGAAACAGGAAAACCCATGAATCTCTTTGCAGTTGCAGCACACTTATACGTGAGTAAAGCCATATTTCCACTATGTTGTTCCTAAAGTACGTCCACAGTACACTGAACCAAGCAATCTGGCACTCGTTACCCTGCTGCGGCATGGTGCATTACACAAAATTAGCCGGCTGCCGAGTTTCGATCTCGCGAAGCGAGAGTTCGTCCTCCTAATGTGCCATCTTTTCGGTCGACGTTACCTCTCGCCTGTCTTTGCCAATCGCAGACATCTTCAGGAACTTACCCGAAGATATCCATCCATGGTAATTCTACCCCCAATTTCAGACCATGCACGAGCAATCCTACATCGCCATGATGAAGAAATCCTTCGAATCTTTACGGGATACGCTCTTGCCTACGCAGAAGAACATGAGGCTCAGATCGGGCCGGGTACGCGACTGCCGCTCAGCAACGTGGACTACTCTAGATGCGCTGATGCTTCATCATCCCAAGTTATCAAGTACCTCCAAAGTACTGCCAACCATGTGGTTGCTCGCTCCATTTTCGTCGCCACCTCAGGCCACTGCGATCTTTTTGGAAGCATCAACGAGCTTACCCAGACGGTTCGGCAGGGTCTCCATCTCCACAATCATGCTATACCCTCCATGGAACACTTGATTACTCAGGTTGACGAGGACAATAGCTCCCAGCACGATCTCAACGCCTATCTTTTTGACTTTTACATTCACGGTCAAGTGAAGACATTGGAAACGGCGAATGGCATCAGACGAGGCGACATCTGGTATCTCTTACAAGATTTCACCCTGACGCTTGCGACGGTCAAGGCGGCCTTGCAGCAGCTTTTGCTGAAAACGTCAAGCGAAGTTGCCTCTCAACGCGATGACCTAGAAGAAGGTGGGGAAACCCACGCTGTTGACCCCGATGAGGGTGACACAGATGAAGACGACGGAGAAGAATCCGATTTCGTGAGGCCATCGGCAATTTCAAGTACTGACTGGAAGGTTTATGAAGTTGTTCGCGATGTGTACAAGGAATTTAACGAGAAATTCCGGGATATGTGGGCTTAAGCTTTTACCATTGCATCCTTGTATTCTTTGAGTAGCTCCGAATTACTGACTATACATTTCTCTGTCGTCGCACGAATTCCCCGAGGTAACGTAGAGTTGCCACGTGAATTGAAAGCGACCATTTGTCAACCGTTTCATTGCTCCCTCCCAAATCAGCTCCGAGTCCACCTGCGAATGAGACTTAGACTCCTTTCCGATGGCCCACCCGACATCATTATTTACATCCAACAGTTCTTGCATCCCCTTGACATCCTCGCACTGCGGCTGGTGGGCGTTGATGATTGACGAACAACCGCAATCAGATTTCTGACCCCAGTTTCGTAGACATGCAAGTCACTCTCTAAAGCTACCCGAGCGCGGTCTGTATGGATGAACGCCGTTCACAACGTATGCATCACCCATGGGGCATTTCTGCCAAGTTTTCCGCTGGAAGAGATGTCTCTCGATGATCTGGAACACACGGCGTTGTCCCCTCGCCGCTTCCAGGCTGTCATTCAAAAGTACGATGGCCATCCAACCGAGCCTCTTCTCACGAGAAAGTTTGTGCCACGCTTGCAACCTCGTCAGTCAGGCGGTGCTGCAATGAAAACCGCGATTGACCAGATGGCTCTCATTCCTGGTGGTCGTTTCCTTCTGACCTCAACCTACTCTGGCAATCTTTATCTCTGGGACCTTGGTTTCAATGCTGGATCACACATGAAGTCGCTCCCCATTGCGATGCTTGAAACTAATGAAGGTTCTCAAGGGGGTTTTGACATGGATAACTTCTGGTTTAATTGCGGACCGATGGCCAATTCTGGGGGAATCTATGTCGTCGCAGAGTCCAATTTTATTGCACGGTATGCGAACATATCACACGTCATCTTTGCACTCTGAGGCGTCACATCTAGGGACAATGTCAAGGCTGTTTGTTACGAAATCTTTCCCAAGTCGGAGTTTCCAAACTTTCATCGTATAGGTGCAGCGGCAATTCCAGGACCAATAACATCGGCATACACTCGACTTTCTTTTGATTATTATGCTTGTTGTCGAGGGTCATTTTTCACGGTCTGGAATTTTACGGCCGATCTTGGCGTTTCCTGGAACCAACACGGTGATGCTGCATGCACCGCAGTATGTCATCTATTGCTTTTGTCGTTTCGTGGATTTGCTCATTCGCATTACCTAGGTATATACCGCTGGCGACAATATCATCACTTTTCACGCTGAACGTTACCTATTGTGGAGGCTACCTGACCTTCAGACCCTTGATGGTGACCTGCTGCCGTGCATCATTGATCATTCGCCAACAATGTCGTTCAGTTATCCTTCTGATGTTGGGGTCATCTATAACGGTGTAGTTTTACCATCTGTTTGGCTCCCGCAAGCTTCTCAAAAGCACTTTTTGACCTATCAACGCGATATAATGATGCACTTCATCGTCAAATCCATCGACACGGTCCATGATGCTTCGCTCCCCGAAATACTTCCTGTGCGTGTTGGATCCGTGCAAGGTGGTCCGATCCCCTCACTTGTTCGAGATCTGATGGTGACAGATAATGGGTTGTTTCAAACATGGGAATCAGATGACAGTACAAAAATTACAGCCAATGTAATTTCTATGCTGACGCCTCAAAATCCTACATATTCCTCTTTATCTTCTGTTCTGTGGTCAAGGGAACGGTCGTTGGGTAGCCTGGTGGACTTTGTTGTCTGCACGATGACGGGACGGGTCGTCATTCAGCTTCGCCAAAAGATCGATGACAACCATTATACAGAAATACAGGTCATGGATTTCCTTTTGCCCAAACCTTTCCAGTGAGTCTGGAAACTCTATCTTCTAAAGATGACGCAAAGACGACGTCCTCACCTTCTAGTTGATTTTACTTACGTCTGTGATACAATCGAGTAGTATTAGGTCACCCAAAGATCATTGCGGCTCGCTACATCAGCAAAACCTGGGTGAGCTAGGCAGCACGTGGCAGGGCTGTGTAGTGCCATAGCACCATAGAAAGGGGTATCACCTTTACAGTCACCTGCACGTTCTATGCAGCTCTACATAGAAACGCACAGCCACTACACAGCACTCCCTAGAATCTCAGAGCAGATCTGCAGCCATTCATAGAAACACATAGCCACTTCATAGTGCTCCCTAGAATTACGGAGCAGATCTGCAGCCCTCAGTAGCAACCCCTGGGGTCTGCAGATTCCTAGAGGGGGGGCATACATTCTGCTCATTTTAATACCATATTGTATGATTTTTACACAGAACTGGTGTTACGAAAAAATAAGTTTATTGTCTGCACTACTACATTATACAAGATATCCTAATATTCTACATAGTAATGACTGCAGTATATCAATTTTATGGAATCAGAGTATCAAGTATTAAAGATACTAAGAGGATGCCATTCGCCAACAAGGAAGGGAGGACGGTTGTTCGTCGAGGGACGGAGCCGTTCTTCAAAGGAGGGAGGACGCCATTCGTCGACAAGGGAGGGAGGACGCTGTTCTTCAAGGGAGGGAGCCGTTCATCAATGAGGTAGGGAGGACACCGTTCGTCGACAACAGAGGGAAGATGCGTTTGTCGACAAGCGAGGGACGACGCCGTTCTTCAAGGCAGGGGGAACACCATTTATCAACGAGAGAGGGAGGACGCCGTTCGTCAACGAGGGAGGGAGGACACCATTCGTCAAGGGAGAAACGCCGTCCATCAAGAAGGGAGGGAGGATGCCGTTCGTCGACGAGTGGGGGAGCAGTTCATCAAGGGAGGACACTGTTCATCGGGGGAGCCGTTTGGCGAGGGAGGGGGGCCGTTTGTCAAGAGGGAGCCTTTCGTCAAGGGAGGGAGCCGTTTGCCGAGAGAGGGAGCCATTCGTTGAGGGAGGAGTCATTTGTCGACGAGGGAGCCGTTCGTCGATGAGGGAGGGATCTTTTCTTTAAGGGAGGAAACCATTCTTCACGGGAGCGAGCTGTTCTTCAAGGGAGGCAGGGAGCCATTCTTCAAGGGGGGGAGGAAGCCGTTCTTCAAGAGAGGGAGGATGCCGTTCTTCAAGGGAGGGAGGACGCCGTTCATGGACGAGGGAGGACACCGTTCGTCGAGGGACGCGGTTCGTCAACGAGGGAGGGAGGATGCTGTAACTCGACGAGGGAGGACACCGTTTGTCGAGGACAAGTTGAACATTGTGGTGGGAAGGAAGAACAATGAATTTCCGTGTTGGGAAATTCAAAGTTCAACATAATCACATGATGTCGGAGTTTCAACGGACTTGAACGAATTGTCTCGCGACTTGAAGTTGTTTGTCGCCTGTCACTGTCTTTCACAGAAAGCATGGCATTCGAGGTGGGCATTCACAATTGTAGATGGCACCATGTAATCAGGCAAATATAAAATTCATATTGGAAAATTATTGAACAATTTCCGAGCCTTCCAAGAAATTTGCAGTTGTTACCAGAAATTTCCGCTATTTCGATGATTTCCCGAAATTTCCTGTTTTTTGGTGGTAGTAGTAGTAACAATTGAAGTTGTCTAAGTTCGAAAATGTGAGTTGAGCACGGCACGTGACTTCCCGCAACCGTACCGACTTCCATCAATTCACACTTACACTTTCTAGGCTAGCTCATAGCTATAACTTCACGAGTATTACACCGTTTGGCCTCTATGTAGGCTTATTTTAATCGCTTCATTCACGCGAATGCAATCCAATTTACGGCGTAGAAAAATTTGGAGTACCTCACAAACTGTAGCATAAACTATTTGGCCTGTATTAGACATCTGAAATATATATTATCATCATGAGTTCTACTCCGTTTCATGCGATTTTGGGCTTGTTAGAAACGCACAAATCAGAGCTTTAAAACGGGTCTGAGAGCCCCTAATATTTCGACGTTTAAGGCGACCTCCGATAACATTTACCGTTTTTAGGCAGATTCTTCACCAGTAATTGGTCCAAAGCCATTTGAGTTTTGAACTAAATACTACGTAAATAGACGCGTTGGAATCGGCTTGAACACCACTTTCCAACGCAAAAAAAATCACAAAAGACGAATATGTTTTGCAAAAGATACTTCATATTCTTTCTTGTTGCAATCTTTGTAGGTCAATCAATCTCTGGACAGTGTGGTACTTTCTTCTTATTCCAGGCGTATTTTGGTCATAAATTATTCATATACAATAGGGAATGTGTTTTCTACTGAAATCTAGTATACTTGTAGTTTGACTCCCTATAAGGGCTGGGTAGAAAGTGGAGGCCCCTCTATAGCACCCTATAGTAACGGCACAAGTCTCTGTAGTGCTGTATAGCACAAGCTTACACCCACACAGTGCTGTGGAGCGCTGTGGAGCGCTAGGGCATCTAGCCAAACTTGGCGTGTAACTATGGGAAACTATGATATTAGCGGAAGCACTATGCCTGTCTATGTGGGAAAATCAGGTTTTGCTGATGTACCTGTTTGTTTGAAACCAACGGTGACTATGATTGAACGAAAGGTGAGCCGATCATACATAGATGAGATGACGACGCATCCCCGCACATGAAAACCATCGTTCCCGGGGAAAGACCCAATAACTGTAATGTGCCGTTGAAATATCTTGGCTGCGGGCGCGTGCTCGAGAGAGCTTGGAAGCAATAATGAGCGCTGAGTCCCAAAACAGGCTTTGAGAATATTGGGCGTAATGACTGTGCAGCGGATACAGAAGAGGCCTTTTGGCGCCTGGCAAAGCAATTTGGCGGAAATCGCGCAAGCCAACACAATCCCGCAAACCTTTCGAAAAACAAAAATCACGATTCTTTGTCGCCCCATGCTCGTAGGTTTGGATGTTCAGGTGCATTCCAATTAATCGGTTCAATTGGGGCACCACTCAAGATACGAGAAAAGGACGGCATGTACCATATAAGCTTCGAATGCAAAGAGGCTGCCGGCAGGACGTTGCGGAAGAAGGGATGAAAATGGATCCCAACCAGGCGCGGGTGAGGACCGAATAGAGCACCATCCGCCACACGTGAGAAGCATGGGAGCCTATAAAGATAAGTTCAGACAGTTCCGCAACGAATCAAAGTACAATGGCCTCTAAGCATACAACCATCCTCGCCGACAGCATTGCTCTCATAAACGACCTCTTGGCCGACCTTCTTCCTGATGCGTTCAATTTTCGGGCCATCACTTTGGCTGTTGACCTAGAGGGCATCAATCTATGTCGGCACGGCAAAATATCTATAATTCAGATCATGTCGAGCGTTTCGGAAGTGGTGTGGTTAGTCGATGTGACGACGCTTGGGAGCCAGGCGTTCGACCACGTTGGTCCATACGGAAGGACGCTGCGAATGATTTTGGAGGATACTGGCATAAAGAAGGTATTTGATTTATTATCATGAGTGCGAGATCCAGCACTTACTATGGATATTAGGTCTTCTACGACGTCAGAAATGACGCGGACGCACTATACAACCTTTACGGCGTCAACCTCACGGGTGTTTACGACCTTCAGCTCCTTGAGCTCGCGGTTCGCCACTCCTTGAGACGACACACGAAGTTCCTCAACGGACTCGGCAAAAGTATAACGAGCTACCTCACACCTCCCACGGAGTGGGAGCCAATCAAGCAGGCAGGGTTGAGGCTTTTTCAGCCAGACTTTGGAGGGTCCTATTCAGTCTTTGAAGACAGACCCTTGGATCCGCGTATCGTCGCGTACTGTGCGCAGGACGTCACGTTGCTCTTCGAACTTGAGGAGACATTGAGGAGGAGTTTTGGACGCTTCGGGAGCAATTGGGAAGATAGAATTGTCGCTGGCTCGGCCCGCAGAGTGTCATTGGCAGAAGGAGCATACGAAGGGAGTGGCAGGCATAGGGCCTTAGCCCCAGTACTCTAGATATTTCGCATACTTTGTCGCGTTGGCTCCGTGAGGACGAATTGATAACCGTTTTCTTGCATTATCCATTTCTTCCAATCACACAATCATTGTAGTTCGTGACGGGCAGGGGGGTTTGGTGGTTTCTGTGCTTGTTACCAATGTCGATTGAAGACTAAAAGTATTGCGTACATCGTCGTGGTGTAATACCCGCTACAGCTCGAAGGTTAAACATACTTTACTTCTTCGATGAATCCAAAATACTCAACCTTGGCTGTCTTTGGCGCGCTGCCTTGGGCCCGACCTTCAGCCCTAAGCCCACCTCATCCTAAACCTATTGCTCCGTCTCCTCCTGTTCTTCCTATGACACATTCACATTCACCCTTTTGCGGAGTTCACGGGCGCGGTACTGCCTGTTCTTGAACCGTCCATCTGATCAAAAGGACGTGGAGAATTGTCAGCAAACTTGGCCATGTGGCGGAAGTCGTGGTGCTCAGCTCCGGACCAGAAGGCAACGATGTTGAGTAATGGTGTAATTTGGGTGTAATAACCACGGAAGGTCTAAGGGCAATGATGAATAGAGTTTATCTACAGTGAGGAGGATTGCAATCCATACCCACTGCGCACTCCTACGTGCAGGGAAATTCTTCGATTTTTGAAGACCCGCTTTACTTCACATTTTGCAGAATGGGGCAAGCGGAGCCATTCGGATGTCGGTGGCTTGGGAAGTCGGAGGGCGATCCAATGATGGCAGCAGCGAAGGTGAAGACCTCGGCAGGACAGCTTACTTATTGCTCAACCGCTAAGCCGAAAGGGACCGAGTACATGCAGCGAATTTTGGATGAGCTTTTGCAGAACATTCGTATGTTTGGTGACCTGAGATTCCGTTAATAACACTTGACATTGATGATGCCCCGAGCACACATACCAAAAAAGTGGAGGAGATCCTCCAACAAAAAGAACAGGAAAGTTGGAGCGCTATCACCTCAATCCAAGGGAAAGAAACGTGGTACGTGCTCATTCCGAGGCCTTCAGCCGTCCGATGCAATAGCCAAGTCTACAGCATCCTTGGGCCATCAATCCCAAGAAGCACCATACAGAACGGTGAAGCAAATGCACTAACTTAGGGAGTTCCATAGTCAATGGGAGAATGGCACCTGCTTGCCAGTGGTGCACTCCCATTGTTCAGCAACTGTATGAAGTTATCAATGCGAAATCCACAATTAATCTGAGTCAGGAGTAAGTAGAGCAACATAACAAACAACAGGATAACGACCTCATGCATAAGGAAACTCATTATCCCCGTGGCGATCCTACACGAAAATACCACGCAATCCCGTCACGGAGGAAACATGGTCAGTGGAAAGAGCGCGTCGTATTACGGTGATGGTATAGTTTACGGCTGCCAGTCGCATAAGGTGCAAGGAGGGAACGGGTTCACCAGAAAAGGCATCACGTGGGTGGAACTCTTTCCTCGGCCGCTTTTCTCCTCTCTCTACATACATACAGAAGAATTATTCTAACCACATGCTTACACGATACCCTACAAATCTCTGTCTATGGTCAAAGCAAGTCGTCGACAAATTGCTTATGTGACGGAGATAATCTTCGACAAAGCTGCATTGTAAAAATTCAGTTACCATCTCGAGGTCCAGAGCGCAGATGCACTTTACCTGTACTGAGAACATTGACGGGATCAGGTTTCGGGTACCATTCCCCGCGGGACAGTCCCATAATAGGACTGAATTGGACATCGTCTTCCAAGAATCCAGCTGTCAGATGTGGAGCTGTCCAGATAGGCAAAGAGTAGGTGAACCATGCGGCTACCCAGATGTACCCCAAAAATTTCTTCATCGGAGTCGGTTGAGCGAAACCGAATTTCGAGGCGATTTCGATGACGGCGTCCTCAAACGTGATGGCTACCGCCTGAAGGACGAAGCAAATCAGGCCGCCGCCGGACCAGTGACCGAGCACCGCATAATCTCCCATATAATGGATTAGACCGGAGATGGAGAAAGCAACGAAGAGTTTGAAGTAGGTCGTGAAGGTGCCCTTCCGTGGAAGTCCCACAATTTTGTATGCGACGAAATCGGACTCGACTTGGAGGAACTGTTCAAAACTTGAGTACCGTCACCTGTGAGATCAAGGGAGGAGGGAGACATACCCTTCTCAGAAGCTGGTGCCAAACGCGACTGAGAGAGGAGCATCGATGAGAGAGAGGCAAGGGCTGTCATCGTGGAGATTGCTTACCCCCAGGAACGACGGACGGTGTACGCATCTCCTACGTAGCCAAATAAATGTGGCCAATCCCCTGGCGCGGTCAGTCCCAAGGCGACTGACACGATGCTGTAGACGGTATAGATCACACTCAAGCTTGTGTACGAAGTTACGACATGCGCGAGCACCGTTGATCTCCATACCCATCCGGCGTCCGTCAAAGATAGTCCTCCCTTCTGAAAGTATGGGTTCGAAAAGGAGAGTACTCTAGCGACGTCAAAGATAAGGATGTACTTGACTGTCCGAAGTAGTTGATCCAGGAGGAATCGGGCGCGTGACGTGGTTGGGTGCGGACGGATGTGAGCCGTTGGTTCGTGTGCCCATCCTATACCTCGCGGGCTGTGTAACAGTCGAAGTGCCCACCAGAAGCGGCTGCTAAGCGACGCTGTACTGATGGGCGTCTTCTGCCCGATAAGGCGAAGCTCGTTCTGAACGTCGGTGAGGACGACTAGGTCCAAGGAAGTGAAAATCAGGATGAATAGGTTGCATGCCACTATGTTGTTGACTGCATTTCTCTCGCATGTGGTGAAGAGAACGAGGTAGACGCAGATCGATGATATGGGGACGAAGAGTATCCAACGGTAGCGAGATGGTCTAACCACCAAGGAGACGAAGATGATAGCCTCTGCCAATAAGAACAGGCCAGGTTTGAATTCGCCCTTTTGGTGCATTATTGTTCGAGCTGTTGGCTTCCAGGCAGGCAATCATCCTTTTTGTAATGGGACGAAAGGGGGAGAGTGGAAGCAGAGAGACTCAGACTGGGTTAGCCTTTGATGGACACGTTTCCGTCTTTCAGAGGCCTAGAGCCTAGGGAATGGACATTGAGTCTATAATTAGATTCGAATTAGATATTAGACGCTCGCTCAACTTGTGACTCGCCAAGGGGAATGATTGTCCAGAAACGATGAAGCCTCCGTATTAGATCCCAATGAGGAACAATTGGACATTGCGCCATACTCAAATCCCAAAAGAAAGAACAAATGACGGCTACACTGGCAATGGCTTGCGGAGGGAGGACTCCCACTGATGGAGGTGGACGAAAGTAGGGAAGAAGTTATGCTGCTGAAGGCTGAGACTTTTTCAGAGCTTTGGCTCGTGCTCGTCTTGGTCCTGCTCGCTGTTTCGTTGAGCTGGTCTTGTAAGATATCAGCTTCATCGCAATTCGCAACCGCGTTTGAGAAAGCCCGAAGTCAAGGGTCGTTGACTCGTTATGCACATCCCGTGACGAAACGTTGACGAAACGCGTGGGCATTCTGTTTCAATCTCATCCATCAACTTGCTTGTCCTCTCCGTCCACCCCCCGGTACTTAACATATTGAATTGAAGCCATCGGTTCGAGCCTACGAAACGCGAGAAACACGAGAAAACGTTTGCTAACATCAAGGCAAACACCTCGCTGGGCAGGAATAAACCGCCTTTGATCTATAAAACATGCCTCTCGTGAGGATAGAAGTCTGCGACTTCAAATCATACAGGTTTGCTCGTAATTGTTGTAGTATTTGAACAAGATTTGAATGCTTATGAATTTCGAAGGGGTCACCAAACGATAGGTCCATTCAGGACTTTTACGTCGGTGATTGGTCCAAATGGCGCGGGCAAGTCCAATCTGATGGATGCCATATCGTTCGTTCTAGGTGTCAAGAGCGCGCAATTGCGAAGTTCGCAGCTCAAGGACCTCGTTTATCGTGGTCGAAGACTGGCCAAGAACAATGAAGAGGATGCCGACGGGGTTTCAGATCAAGAAGAGGAGGAGCAGGAGCAGGAAGGTGAGGGCACGGCGAAGAAGGCTTGGGTTCTGGCTGTCATCCATGACAAAGATGGCAAGGAATGGAAGTTTCAGCGAACGTGAGTGGCCTCAAATCATATTCTCTCCTTTCGCTTATCACGGGTTAGAATATCCACGAATGGCGCGTCAGAGTACAAACTCGACAAGAAAGTCGTCACTTATTCCGCTTACAATGCCGCCCTTATCTCTCTTAACATCCTCGTAAAAGCCAAGAATTTCCTTGTATTCCAAGGGGATGTCGAAGCTGTCGCCTCGCAATCACCTCGAGAACTTTCGCGCCTCATTGAACAAATCAGCGGCTCACTAGAGCTTGCTCCAGAGTACGAAAAGGCCAAGGAGGCTCAAGACAAAGCGACTGAAAACGCCACGTTTAATTTCACTAAACGGAGAGGAATCGCGGGGGAGATAAAGCAATACAAGGAGCAAAAAGGCGAAGCGGATCGGTTTGAGAGTCTCTGTCAACAACGGGTGCGTTACTCTCTTTTCAATGTGATTGGTATTGATGTCGTTCTAGGATGAGTTGATTCTGCAACGTATACTCGTCAAGCTCTTCCACATCGAGGAAGCTATTGAGAACAATACCCGCGCCATCGTCAAAAAGAACAAAGAGTTGACGGGTCTACGCGAAGAGCAGAGAGTCCATGACTACGCTTTAGAGGCAGCGCGAACGGAGCAGGCGAAGGCTAGGACGGCCGTCATGCAGAAGGAGAAGGGAATCAAGAAGGCCGAGAAAGCGTTGGATGGCAAAGCATGTCGGTTCCATCATTCACTTCTTCTGTCACTTACATCTTGCAGAAACCTGAACTCGTCACGATCGAGGCTCATATTACGCATGCTACGCGAAAAATGAACAACGCTGAGAAATCGAAGGAGGAGCTTGTCAAAGACCTCAAGACTCGGCAGGAGAAATTTGATCGGCTGCAAACTGAACTCAAGAGTGTGCGTCGAGATGCCGACAAGGCTCAAGGTTTGTGACAAGTCCCTTTTCGTTCCTCGTGTCCAACTGATCTTACTGAACAGAGGAGCAGAGAAAAGCATCTCACCACAACGTAGCGCTGACCGAGGAAAGCCTGGACGAATATCGTGCTTTGTAGGCTGATCCCTAACGTCAGCTTGATGTTTTTGCTTATATAGATTTTCAGGAAATCGTCGTCAAGTAAACTCGCCGTTGATGAACGACAGACCCTTGAAACTCTTCTTCGTGAAGAGAAGACTTCGAGCAGAACACTTGCTCAACTTACGGAAAAGCAAAAAGGTTATGAGGAGAAGAAGGAATTGCGAAGCGAGGATCTCCGAGTGCAGAGTGCTCGAAAAACTGAGGTCTGTTGAGATTGAATGGCCGAGTTGTGCGCCTCTCATCATTGACCTTGATAGCTCGACGCGAAAATTTCGTCACTACAAGCAAACCTGACGAGTGTCCGACAAGAACTGGATAATCAACGAGCTGAGAGAGAGAAAATAGCGTAGGCAACTTCAGCTGAGACCTCCGTACCCGAATTGACGTACTGAATAGGAAATTGGACGCGGAAGTAGACGAGAAACTTCAGAACGTTTATCAGCAGCTCTTGCAGGCCGGCGTTGATAAACACGAATCGGAACGTGAAACTCGCCTTAAGGAGACGTTGGCTAGCCTGCAGAGGATCTTCCCAGGTGAGTGATTTGGAGACGATCTCCAGAAAGTGAAGGCTGAATGATGTATTAATAGGCGTTCGAGGGAGGGTCGTCGACCTCTGCAAACCAATTCAACGAAAGTACGAAGCAGCAGTGTCTGTTGTCCTCGGACGCAACATCGACGCCATTGTCGTTGACGAGGAGAAGACGGCCATTGATTGCATTGAAGTACGTTTCCCATTCGCTTGTATTGACCTTTTAGGTTTTTTGACGATCGTGCGCAGTACATGCGTAACCAACGTGCTGGACAAGCCACCTTTATACCACTTGATACAATTCAAGTGAAACCCATCAACGACAAATTCCGCTCCTTCGCCAAGGGCGCTCGTTTAGCCGTGGATGTGGTTCAGTACGAGCCTGCGATTGAGCGAGCTATCCATCACGCTTGTGGGAATGCTCTTGTTTGCGATACCATGGAGGTTGCGAGATATGTGTGTTATGACAAAGGTCAGGAGGTGAAAGGTAAGTTTGTCCTCCAGGAGAACAATCTCCATTTCAGCGAGCTGACTTTTTGCGCGTAAATTGTAGCTGTTACTTTGGAAGGCACGATCATTCATAAGAGTGGGTTGATTACTGGAGGACGAAGTACGCACAATAACAGCAAGAAATGGGACGAGAATGACGTTCAAGGTTGGCATTATCATTGAGTCACTCGGACTTCCTCGTCGAGTTTACCGGCTTCGTCAGGGTTGATTCGCGTCCGTGACAACTTGCAATCGCGGCGCCTCGAACTCAGCAAGCAGAAGCCCCGCGCAAAGACGGACGAAAATCTCGTCTCGGAAGTTTCTCGTCTTGAATCGGCGATAACTTTGGCTAGAGATGACCTGGTTTGTTTTGTTTCGTTTCAGGGTTATCATTTTCTCATCCCATTTTTTGGCAAGGCGGCTTGCAAATCTCGCCTTAATGGCTTGAAGGAAGAGTTAAAACATATTGACAAGGAGCTAAAGAGCAACACCCCCGAGCTCAAGAAGGTGATTAGTTCGACCTTGTTGTCGGGATGGAGCTCGACATATACCGGTTGACAGGCACAAACTATTGACGCTGCTCTGCAAGACAAGATGCAACGTCTGAAACATACGATAAACGCAGCGGAAGACGGGATTTTCGTGGCCTTTTGCCGCAAGATCAGAGTGTCGAATATCCGAGAATACGAGGAGAGGCAGTTGAAGGTTGCTCAAGAGGAAAGCCAAGCTCGCCTGCGCTTCGATACCCAGATTGCCCGTCTCTCGAACCAGTAAGCAATATTGTCAATTATCCCTTTCAATTAAGGTCGTTAATCCTTAAGAAAGGTCTGACTTCGAGGAGGAAGGCTTGAAGTCTGCGAAGGAACGCTTGGAACGACTCGAAGGCATGATCAAAACTGAACGCGTGAACTTGTCCAAGTTAGAAGAGCAGAATACCGCTGCCGCGGAGGATATTGCTGTCGCTGAACAAGGCATTGCCAAGTTAAGGGCAGAACTCTCCACAGTTCAAGAGGTGCTAGAGGAGAAGACGAAGGTGGTTGATCAGGTGAAGAAGACCACGTCAAAAGCATCGAAAGTACTCGACCAAGCATTGAAAGAGATTGCTACAGCTGTGTGTTGCCTTTCCTTCCTCCGTTCATTAGACCCATATTTTCTGCAGAACGACGAAATCGAGAAGCTCGCCCTTGATCGGTCGGCTACTTACCGCAAATGTCGCCTTGAGGAGGTAAAGCTGCCACTTCTGGAAGGCAACCTCAAGCACGTCCCAATGGAGGAGGTGTGTGCTAAGTGGGCCAGCAAACACGGTTGATACTAAAGCTTTTCTAAGAATCTCCGAGAGGATGTGGCCATGGACGTTGATGAAGACGAAGATGGGACTCAGAGGCCTAAAGTGGTCGCTGATTATGGAATTGAGGTCGACTTTGAGTCTATTGAGGATGACGAGCGGTCTGAAGACCCGGCGGACGCGAATGCAAGATACGATAAGGAGATTGCCAACATCACTGCAGAGATCGAACGGATGGCGCCAAATATGAAAGCGATAGAACGGTATGGTATTCTCCCCTTTGACAAGATACCAGACATTGACTCTTCTGGAAAGGCTTGATGACGTTGAGACGAAGCTCGAACAAACGGAAAGAGAAGCTGATAAGGCTCGCAAGGAATCTAAGAATGCCCGTGACCACTTCAATGATGTGAAGAGCCGACGGTTTGTTTCCATTGTTTTCTTTCACGCATTACGCTTACAGCTGGACGAGTAGTTGTGAACTGTTCAACAAAGCTTACAGTCACATATCCGACAATATCGATCAAGTTTACAAAGATCTGACAAAAGGGAAAGCGGCTCCCATGGGAGGCGTCGCATATCTGAGCTTGGAAGATAGTGAGGTATGAATAGAGGAGCACCCTCATTCATTTTATCTCACGTTTGCACAGGAACCGTATGCTGGCGGTATCAAGTATCACGCCATGCCTCCCATGAAGCGTTTCCGAGATATGGAGCAACTTTCAGGTGGTGAGAAGACTGTAGCTGCCTTGGCTCTTCTTTTTGCCATCCATAGGTTCGTCTCACTTCCGATTGAGATCTGTGAGCAGCAATCAATGTTTGCGTAGTTATCAGCCAGCTCCTTTCTTCGTTTTAGACGAGGTTGATGCTGCTCTCGACAACACAAACGTTGCCAAGATTGCGAACTACATTCGGCATCACGCGTCAGATGACTTCCAGTTCATTGTAATAAGTCTGAAAGGCTCCTTGTATGAACGGGGTAACTCCCTCGTGGGCATCTATCGGGATCAAGAAGTAAACAGCTCAAGGACTTTGACTCTTGACGTGAGCATAACAGTCTTCAACCCCTGTTTCCATATATTGATGATCATCTCTCCTCAGCTCACCCAGTACGATGATTAGCGTCACACTCAATTCTCCTATCATTTCGCATTGCTCTCGTCGCCTCCCCGTGTTGTAACCTGTACCTGTCAGCTTAACTCTTATTACTTATACCATATCATGTGCTGTCCGTCTTCGCAATCGCTACGTGTCATATCACCCTTTTTATATAATGCAGAATGGGACTGGTTAGAAAAGCCGTACAAGGTGTCAATTATAACAAGGGGCCGTCCGTCATGAGCAAAATAAACGTCTACAGTAATAACCCTGGTATTTAGTCTAAATAGCGAATATGAAACAGTACAGTAAGGTAAAAAAAGAAAGTATATGTGCAATAAGAGGAATCATGGATGTGCATGTGAATCAGAGGAGAGAGCTTCTGCCACGTCTTCGGCGTCTTGGTCCACGCCAAATGTTAGTCTTCGGCCATGAGGCATTGGTGAGTCCTGTAGAAACTGAATCTCATTCTGCGCCATCGCCTCATCAAAATATGAAGTAAGGAGGGACATGTGTCGCGGGGTATGGGGATCTCTGGGAGGAATAGGGAAATCTGATAAACCAGACATTCGTGAGAAGGTAGAAGTTGTCATGTAACTGCTTCTGGTGCCTTCAGTAACGGGGAGTTGGAGACCGGATAGCACACGCGCATGGGGTACCGAGGTATTAGCGTCGCTGTGGTGGTATGGCTCGAGGACATCCGCCGTCTGGCCCATGAACGAGAGACGGTGGTCTGTTGCAAGGGGGGTTGAAACCGACTCCACCATACCAACACGAAACATTGCTGAAAGGCCCAGTCAGTGAGGGCGATAAACCATATTCATAATCACTTACCAGTGTCATCATCATCCTCCTCCTCACCCTGCGGGATAACCGATGATGCTCTAGATGATTCCACGTCCTCAGGAAGAGCTCCAGAAGGCTTGAAAGCCAAAGTGGGATGATGAGCCGGAGAAAACTCTTCAGCGATACTAATTGGGGATTCAGGATGAGGACTCCCTTCAAAGACAAACCGAAGGCTTCCATCAGCTGGTCTCTGTGTCACGTTGTTATTGGCAAGCACGGACGAAGCAGAGTAAGAATATTGGCTGCTCGTTCTTTCGCGCTCCAATGCCATCTGCTCGAACTCTTCACTCAACTGACGCGCAAGACTCGTTAGACCGCTGCCTGTGCGGCGATTTCGTGTGTGAACCTCCCAAGGAGCAGGAGAGACTTGGGGTGGTGGCGATACAGAGGGCTTCAGCTCACTTGAGGGCCGTCTCGCTGGACTGGGTTTGTAGAAGAGGTCATGGAAGTTTTCAAGGTCATTTGGGCTTCCAAGGGGTCTAGGCGACAAATGAGGCGATGACTCCGATGTAGCGGCAGGCGAGGGCGTTGAGGCTTGAGGAGCAACAGGAATGGTCAACTGTTGAGACGGCTGTTCCTCGAGCGACGATGGAGTTGAATCTGACAGATTTTGGGCGTACACTGGTCGCCGTGCGTCGTACAGAACAGCTTCACGACGTGCACGCGGACCAAACTCAGGGAGATCGTCTTGAAGCCTTTGCATTCCGCTCGCAATCGACCTCTGCCCTTGTTGTGACAGCTTACCCGATGACGGGGTACTTGAGCGTTCATCCACGATCTCAGCATTACTTCCCGATCTTGCCCTAGAGCCAGTGTATGCAAGAGCTTCTCCGACTCCAATGATATCGTGGATCTCTGCAGGACTTCGTAGACGATCACTTCTGTCAGGTGAGAATGGGGAGTACTGGATATCCCCTGGCAAGATCTCGCGAACGACACCAGGAGAAAGCTGGGCCCACATTTTTGACTGGGGTGGAATGTTACTGTCTGATCGGGCCTGGGGAACGAGGCCTTGTTCTGCATCGTCGTCTCTTGCTGACGTTTGTGCGTACGGATGTAAGCCAAGATGAGGAGGAAGTTTATGCCTAGATGACAAGTTGGAGGCCTCAGGTCTAGGAGAGATGGTCCTTGATGGATGTGGGCCAGCGTAATCTGAGCCACGGACACGAGGGATGTCGTTGACAGGAGTGATGGGTTTATCGCTGAAAGAGTACAAGCCACCTTGGGCATAAGGATGTGCTGGTAGTCGAATGGAATCGTGATCCAAAGATTCTTCATTCATAGGGGGTGGTGTCGACAACGCAATGCCCACCCTCGTGTCAGCTATGCCCGAAGGGGTGGGAGAGACTCTGGGAATGGGCGACAGTGAGTAACGAAGCATAGCTTTGTCCTTATCGACGGGAAGCTTCGCAGGGTCTGCCAACTGAATAAACTTCGTCCCCTCTCTTCTCAGAGCACCCTCTAGCCCAGTCGCTTTTTCATCCACTGCACATGGGGCGGCCGCATCTTCACCTGAAAACCCACAGATAGCAATAGTTGATTTCGCTATTCTATTCGCAAACTGACTCCACGAACCTGTGCGAGAGTGGCCTCTCGAATGTGATTTTGATGATTTGGACAAAGTTTTCACGAGCGAGCCGGTATGAGAATGTGAAGGGCGGCTGGAAGATGTGGTTGTGGTGCCGGTCGCAGAGTAACTTGAGTTCTTCCGGTGACTTTTCGGAGCTACAACGACAGGAACCGCGCTCTGGTTTCCTAGATATGCTCGGGCCGCGAGAAAATCTAGACCAGTTTGTGATGGCTGAGCCTCCCTTCGGCCCTTTTGCGTCAAAGATTTTGACCGAGTTCTGGAGATACTGCGTGAACGCTTGTTTTCGAAGGACTTCGTAGCTTGCAATTGCCATTGTTGCCGCTGACTTGCCAGTAACTCACCCTCCGCGAGGACCCTGTCAATTCAGAATTAGTACTATTGTTGATGCCACAAAGATTAAAGTATACTTTGACAAGGATGAAGGTGGACTCAGTAGCGCTAAGTCGTCCTGTGCGAAACTAGTTGGTCTTGGAGGTCTCAAATCGAATGCTACGGGAGCATTATCCAGTGCTCTGGAAGTCGAGGCAACCCTTTCCCTTGTTAAGCTTTTGGAAGGCGAAGCACGTATGTTCAGATCAACAAGCGACCTTGAATGTGCCAAGACTCTAGAAAGTACGCCCTGTTCTTGAGGATGGTTCATGCCAAACTCATCTACCAGCGGTGTCCCCGGAGGGCTGACGATCCTCCCACTCCCCACGTAACCGTTCTCATCCTGCTTCACCTTCAATCTCGGACGCGGAAAAAGAAGAGCGTCACACCACGTCTCAGCAGACAACCAGCGATCTTTTCCCTTCGGCAGAATAAATGTGGGCGGCAGGGAATTATCCGGAGGGTTTTGCCGGGTGGGAGACATCTTGGGACTGGGACTGCGGAGGTTGGGCGTTGACGCCGAGTTTTTCAGCTGCTTCAAACCAACACCAGTCAGGTGGAGAGTGGAAGGGTAATGAGTGTCAGCATTGCCATTGCCGATATGGGGATTGGTGAAAGTCAATCGAGGTGGATCAGCTCGCTGCTGCTGGAAGTTGTTGGGTCCAAGTTCCCGGGGCGAAGTGGGCGTGGGTATCAAGGGTGCGGTCTGCGGGCCACCTGGTATATCTGATGTAGGAAACGCATAGGCGTATGGATGTGAGTACGTGGGCGATGTGGACGACTGCCGTGAAACTGGGCTGTCAAGACGAGAGCGTTGTTGAAAAGGCTCGGCGAGGGAGGTATCACGGCTGTGTTGTTTTTGGCGACTAGCCTCTTGCTGCGGCGATTGAATCAATGTCGAGTAGTAGGAGTTGTAATAGTCTTCGTCATCTGGCGTGGAAACCTCGGGGCTGCTCTTGGGTGGATCGCTACGTTGTCGCTCGAACAATGGCGACTTGCTATTGAAGTCGTTCGTCGAGGAGCTACGTCGCAGAGCGGGTGATCGAGAAGGACCACTGAGATCTTCTTGTCCGCCAGAACTGGTATTTGGCCCCATTAATCGGGGAACCTTTTTCGAAGGGGTCTTATGAAGGCTGCGATCCCGGACCAGTGGCGAAGATGTGGGTGATTTTCGACCGGAACCAAAACTGAAAATACTCGCAAAGCTCAAGCGGTTCGCCTCCTTTGTAGTGCGCAAGTGTGGCGTCGGCGATTCCCCAACACCACCTGAATTGCCCAGATTGACATACGAGGGAACGGTCGGTCGATTCCCAGAAACGGTTGAGCGGCGTCGCATACCAATGCTGGTCCGACTGGGCTCTCCAGAAGATGGTGTGCCCCCTAAGACCACGGAATGCGTCCGATCTCTGGTATGGCTTTTCCGCTCATCATCGCGACCCCTGGCATAGCCCCCATATCGGTTATGCAGTTCCGCATTAACCAATACCGCATCATTATCCTCGCCCCCTACTAAATTTCCCCAGCTATCCCTAGCTTTCCGACGAGGCGGCGGTTCGCGCGGCGCCTCGTAAGGGCCGTTATACGGAATATACCACTCGTCCTCCCCCCCTGCCGCCCCGTTATTGGAATCCCGGGTTCGAGAGCGCGATTTTAACCCCATTCCAAAGCCAACGCGGGAAAAACGGGAGAATGGAGCAGCCGGTTGTGTTTGAGAGGTCATACTGGCTATAAAGGCGACAGAAAACGTTCCGCAAACGGCTGAAAGACTCCCTCGCTTGGGGCCAAACAATGCTGGGACCTGCGAGAAACCCGGAGACTTGGGAGAAAGTCAACAACAGGGGTATCAAGCGATAGATATATCTTTACAACGAGAGTTTCAACAACATCAGTTTTCGACAACAGCCTTCCGTGTAAACATGGACACACCTGTGTGCTTCAACTCCTCAGTATCAGAGTGAAACAGACGAGATTCTGGCCCAGTTGGGCCCGCCGTTGACTTCACCAGCTGCCAGCTGGTCGCGGTCAGTGAGGGAAATTTACTGCCTCTCAGGGACGGAACAATTAGAACGGAAGGTTCGCACGCGGCCCTGATCATCGAAAATAATTTTGGGACGACATTTCTCCCACATGGCAATTCCATGAGGCTCGCAACTTGACAAATTCATTGATTCATCAATCATACCTAGCTACAAATTGGAGACACAAAGGTATGTCCTATACCTGCAAGTACTTTCCACTGTAGTAAGAGCACACAAATGAAGGACGCGATTCAAACGAGGAGCAATAGCGCCAGAGTCTTGACCTGCCGAAACTGCCGAACACAGAGTCCAGATGTTTGGCAGGTACAGGTCGATAAGGTCCCCTGTCGCGTGAAGCACCTTGACATGTTTGACAGTCCAACCTAAGTTACGTTACTTACACGTATCCAATGTCGTAATCAATACAGTCGCCAAAAAGTAGGCGATTAGTTCCTGAGAATAAGCCAATGCAGCGCTAAACGTTCTAGACGCCAGGAAATCTGTGGTGAGTCCCAGTGGGTAGTGGAGCCTGCAGCATCAGCACAACCAACCTTCATGAAATTTGATGTCGATTTTAACGCAGTGAAGGGCCCTCGAGAACACTCCTGCGGTCGCAAGATGAGTTCAATGTAGGAGATTTACAGAAAAGGAAATGCGAAGGCCTCTCCGCACCTTGCACAGTTAGTCCAAAGGAAATATTCGAACGGCCGATGAGGACAAAAGTTGTCGAACAGGCTTTTTGCGCCTCTCCTACATGGAGAGTTTTGGAACATCAAGACCCTCAAGCTTAGGACACCCAGAAAAGAGAAGCCGCCACGAGGATATGAAAAATAGGCAGGAAGGAACAGACTGCCAGTGAGCAGAGTGGCAGTTCTGAACTAAATCCAGGCTAAATCCTTCGGCGCCTCGTTAGGACTGTGCAGGGTCATAGTTCGTTATTCACAAAATTTGCCCAAGGCTGCTTGGCTGTTACATCCGCGATCAAGGTAAGCGGTCAAGAGGTCTAAGGATCTTCGGTCCAGACCGGGGAAACAAAGAAGATTCCCCAACTGGTCTCCACAAAATTTGAAAATCAGGAGATAACTTTGAGGGGACGGCTGAACACGGACACGCTCAACGGGGGAGCCGGCCTGGATTTAGTAAAATAGGGATTCACGACTTTGTGTGGATGTTGTCGTGAGGATGGCTATAATAGTACCGAGTACTACAGAGTTGGACTGGAGGCAGCTGACTGCTGGCTGACTGTATGTTTGAACGTTGGACGTTGAGTGATCCACATGTGCAGCTATGAAGACGAGCCCTTTATGTGGCAGCGGATGGCCGTTGGCGATCGAAGCGCAGACGAATGGATATAAGTAGCAGTACTTCTATCATTCCACGCGGCCACAGTGTCTTCTTTGACTGGCATCCAACTCCGCGACGACTCATAGGGTTTGGCAATATGAACGTATCCCATAAAGATATGAGGGAATTCAGAGGTGAATACCACAGCAGCCTTGAAGGAAGGAGAGTGAAGCTGAGTGAGCGCTGGCAATGGAGAGCCGCACGCGGAGGAAGAGGTAACAAACACCTCAATCGGCGGCCGTGATATGGCAACAAGGAGCGGCGTTTCGCGGTTGGCGGATGGGCAGGCGAAACCATTATTTATTCCGAGCGCTGATGCCAAGCAAAGAATCCATTTTTAGAACATGTTCTCCTCTAAAACGACTCCAGGTTCAAATGTTCAAAGTCATGACCTAACAACATTAGTCAGATGCCGGTTAACCGCCATTATAAAGTAGGGGTGCCCCCGCCACCCATTCGTACCATTGAATCATGGCGACCTCCATCCCGACAGCCTTGACTCCAGAATGGCTTCCGACTCAGAGCGCGGTCTTTTTCACACTGGCTGTTGGTGCCGTAATGACACTCGCGACTCTGCTTCGTCCCTCAAAGTCCAAAGCTGGTGTCCACGATCTCGGCGGTATTCCCGTTCTCACTGCCTGGACCTTCTTCACGAAACGATACGACTTTCTCCGGAAGCATTTCAACTCTGGGAAGAAGTATTTCCAGTTTCGCGTTCTTCAGGTGCGATAATTTATCTCTTTTTTGCGCCTCACCCAATTCACCGCATTCATATTCTATAGCACCGAGTCATTGCGTTGTCGGGAGAGGAAGCACGAAAGATGTTCTTCGTTGAACAAGGTCTCAGCCTTGGTGAAGGATACCGGATCTTAATGGGCGCAGCACCTTACCTTGAGGATATCAACGTCAAGCCCGAGGATGGCGAGATCCAAGACGGCGATTTTGTGAAGCGATTGTTGCTGTTGATGCACAAAGACCGAATCTTGGATGGTACGAATCTGTAAGTCGCCAGGTCATAAAACTAACATCCTTTATCTAGTCCTACCCGCTCTTTTCGAAGATGTCAATCGCCGAATGAAAGACTGGGGTAACGAGGGCAGGATCAATCCTTTCAAGGAGATCTACGACGTAAGTCAAAGCTCAGCTCTATCTTGATCAAGTTGTTGATTCCTCGACGTGAAGCTCGTTTTTCAAATGACGGTACGCATGGCGACATGCCAGGAACTAGCCGAGAATAAGGACGATATCGAACGTCTCACCCAGCATTATTGGGATCTTGAGAAGAGCGCAACGCCTGTGGCTTTATTGTTGCCATGGTTCCCTAGTCGAGCGAAGAAAGCTCAGAAAAATTCCACAAGAGCGCTGTTCACTTTGTTGTACAAGTACGTCGATTTGAGACGCAAGGCACCTGTTCCATCTAGTGACCCCATCGACACTCTCATCGCTTACGGTGATAATAATGAAGCGATCGTTGGCGTATGTTCCTCGTAATTTCTCCCAAACATCATGATTGCTGACTCAAGCATGCAGTTCATTATGGGTGTCATTTTTGCAGGCGTGATAAATACTGGCGCAAAATGTAAGAGGCGGTACACTGCCTCCACTAATTCCTAACCCACGCTCAACAGCCTGTTGGATCCTCCTCAACCTTGGTGCCAACCCCGAGTGGAAATCTAAAGTGACGGAAGAGTTGAAAACTCTCGTAACGAACCACACGAACACACTATCCAAAGAGCCGCTCCACAAACGACTCGCCGCAATCCCTTTGAGTGCATGGGAAGAGGAATTACCAGCGCTAGATCTCGTCATTCGCGAGACTATCCGAATTGCTGCGTCTGGCGCAGCTTTACGTCGAAATCTCGGCAAAGACATTCTTCTGGCGGATACTACTATTAAGAGAGGCGACTTCCTCACCTATTCTTTATCCGACGTTCACTTGAACGCGAATATCTATGCCGACCCCACCAAGTTCGATCCTGGGAGGTTCACAAAGGGGAAAGAGGACAACCAGAAAGAAACATACACTTATCTCGGGTGGGGCGTCGGTGAGTTTCTCTACATTCTTTATTGCCTTCCCGACTGATTTTTTCTGTACAACCAGGCCGACATCCCTGTGCTGGAATGAGGATCGCAAAATTGGAGATGAAGCTCATCCTCGCTATGTTCCTTGTCGGTTATGAGTATGAATTAGTGGATAGCAGAGGCAACTTCCCTAAAGAACTCCCACTCCAAGATCGGAATGATATCCAGCAGGTACGGAGTGCTCCCATGACTTTCCTTCGTGGCTTGATGGGTATTTCAACTAGTCGAGGCCGCTGGGCGACCCTTGTTATCTGAAATTCAAGCGGGTGACCGATTAGAGGGATTGATTCCTGGTCCTACATTCTTTGAACGACAAGGATTCAAGTTTTATTTAGTGATGAGCAGTTAACGCGACTTTATAGCTTCTCTGTTGTATGTTTTACATGCCGATGGTAGATTAAGTAGTTGAAGTTCCGTGAGTTGTCCCAAAGGAGCTTCACAGACGAGGACAATTTTGATGGCGTTGTAACATACCTCAGAATCCGGATGATCTCAGCAGACGCACTTTTCACTGGGCATGATGAAGTCGGCCCTCCCATCGTCAAGACCAGCAAATGCAGCATGAAGTTGGATACGTCACGTCAATGAGCGACGTTCCTACTGTGAATATACGCCTTAAAGTTTGCGACGGTTCTAACAGTGCCAACCTCGCCTGAAAAATAAACGAGATTAATATTTTCTCGGTGTTTCCCGGACTTCCACCGTTCCGTGTCAACCGTTGGTCAGAGTAGTGACGTAGTCAATCCTCGTTGGCACGTATCGTGCGCAATGCGCATTACCTCAGGCTGTCGCCAACCTATCACCGTCTTTCGTTGTCTTTCTTAACAGTGCGTTTCGCAACCACTCAATATTCAATCCTTGTGGTTGCCAGTGGGTGGGGATGTCTCGCAAGACACGAGACTTCAATCCCTAGCCGATAAAAGGGCCGTCGCAACTCGTGAAGGTAATAAAGGTTGCCTTTGGAGGAGCTTCCGAACAACGTAGAATGTCAAACCGCCTGCGGACCGGCCTATGGGCCACAAGGCTGAGGAGGCTCCCGAGCAAAGTCCTGGAATGACCCGTGGACCGCCACGATGTATGCTCCAGGTTTTGATGTCAATAGCATTTCTTGCTTCGATTCATACTGAACGTCAAAATAGCATGAGGCCGAATTTAATATGCATATTAACCGAGTTATAAACCGGGTATCGATTTCACTCTCAATTCCCCATCCCATACCACCATCGAAAGATGTCGTTGTCTTCATCTGGAACTATTTCCTTCGTGGCGCTCGCAATTGGTGTCCTGATGGTGCTTGCCAGTCACCTGCTCTCCTCTCAGTCCAAAGGCGGTATACACAACCTTACAGGTATTCCTATCCTTGCCGCCTGGGACTTCTATACGAAGCGGTACGACTTTCTCCGGAAACACTTCGACTCTGGCAAGAAATACTTTCAATTCCACATTCTCCAGGTATTCAATATGTCAGTGTTCTTTCCGCGTACTACCCAACTCACCGCATCTATTCTTGAGCACCGAGTCATTGCATTGTCAGGCGAAGATGCACGAAAGCTATTCTTCAGTGAACAAGGCCTGGATCTTGATGATGGATATCGACTCTTACAAGGTGGAATTCCCAGTCTTGGAGACATTGACGTCAAGGACGGCGAGGTGAAACTTGACACCGACTTTATGAAGCGATTGTTGTTGCTCTTGCACAAGGACCGAATCTCGAATGGTATGAACAATAAGTCTCCAGTCCATTCTTTTTTAACGTTCAGTTAGTGCTACCAGTGCTTTTGGACGATATCAATCGCAAGATGAAATATTGGGGTAAAGAAGGAACGATTGACCCTTTTCAGGATGTCTATGGCGTGAGTCGAAGCCTTGCTTTTCCTCGTTCAAAGTTATTCATCATTGATGCCTCCACATGAAGCTTGCTGTTCAAATGACGGTGCGCATGGCGACCTGCGAAGAACTAGCGAAGAATCAGGAGGACATCAAACATCTTATGCAGCATTACCAGGATATCGACGAGAGCGCGACACCTGTCAATGTACTATTGCCGTGGTTCCCTAGTCAAGCTAGGAAAGCTCAGGGAAAAGCTACAAGAGCTCTTTTCACTCTACTACAGAAGTACGTTGATCTCAGACGTAAGGCAGCCGTCCCATCCAGTGACCCCATCGACACTCTCATCGCTCACGGTGATACTGATGAATCGATTGTTGGCGTGAGTCTGTCGTAGTTATCCCGGTTATATGAATGCTGACCCGAAGTAGGCAAGTATGGGCATTATCTTTGCTGGCGTAATCAATACCGGCAGGAATAGTAAGCGGTCATACACTCCGATCATTGGTGGCCGGCTCCTAACCCACTTTTGACAGTGTGCTGGGTGCTTCTCAACCTGGGTGCCAACCCCGAATGGAAAGTGAAGGTGGCCAACGAACTGAAAGCTCTTGTCGCAAACCACACAAACACACTTTCCCAAGAACCATTTCACAAACGGCTTGCCGCGGTCCCTCTAAATGCCTGGGAGGAAGAATTGCCCATGCTCGATCTCGTGATTCGTGAGACCCTCCGAATCACCATGTGCTTTGCCGTTCTCCGTCGAAATCTAGGCAGAGGCATTCCTTTGGCGGGTTCCACTATCAACAGAGGCGACTTCGTCACCTACTCTCTGGCCGACGTCCACATGAATCCAAATATCTACACCAATCCTGGTAAGTTCGATCCTGGAAGGTTCATGAAGGGGAAAGAGGAGGATAAAAAGGCACCATTTGCTTATGCTGCGTGGGGTGCTGGTAGGTCTCCCTGTGTTTTTCACCGTTTTCGAAAGCTAATACAGCCTGCACAGGCCGACACCCCTGCCCCGGAATGAGGTTCGCGAAATTGGAAATCAAGTTTGTACTCGCTTTATTCCTCGTTGGGTATGAATTCGAATTAGTGGACGGCAACGGCAAATTTCCTAGAGAGTTTCCAACCGTAGACCGCAATGACCTCCATCAGGTACGACGTTGCTTCAGAATGACTCCGTGGATATTGATACCTCTCTTGATTCTGCAGTTGAGCGCAGTCGGAGAAACTTGTTACCTCAAGTTTAAGAGGTTGATTGAGTAGCAGAGCTTGCAATTCTTAGACTGCACATTTCGCAAAGCCGCCATTTAGCTTTCTATCTACTCAGTGCGGTCATTGCTATTTTGTATTTCCAAAAGATAGAAACGCTATGATGATACTCTAAGGAACTATTTCGAGGTTCGTTAGGCAAGCCAGTTTTCCAGCCGAAGTACTTTCTGACAAGTGCGCAGAATGACACTCTGGTATACACCCTCTTGACCTAAGCCAACCATCGCCCATGGACGAGTCCACCCCGGTACAGACAATATGAACCAACCCAAAACCCACATATACCCAACACATTTTGAAAGACGCGTTCTGCCAAATCCAATCCTCGAGGCTGAATTAATGACGATGTCTTCAATGGTGATCGCCACTGCTTGAAGCACGAAGAAGCGCATCGACCCTCCTGTCGTCCAGTCACCAAGAGCTAGGTAGTCACCGGCTAGATGAACTAAACCGGAAATAGCGAACGCGGCATAGAGTTGGACATGCCATGCCAACGAGGTGCCATTAGTGAGGCTGAAAACGTTCTTGACGATGAATTTGCTGTGGACAGTTAGAATCTGGAAAGCACAATGGTGGGCGACATTCGGACTGACTACGAGTAAATGTCTTACCCTGCGAAGATTCTGATGCCATACTCGCCTGAAAGAGAAGGTGTGATTAACAGCAGCCTGGCGAGGTAAGAGAAGACGAACCCCCAAAACCGCCCGACTGTATAGGCATCGCTCCAATACCCGAATAACGCAGGCCAATCCCTCGCCTCTGTCACCCCCAGAAAAACCGACGCCCCCGCGAGGACGTTATATGGCAGATTCAAGCTGACATTAATCTCGAGAAGATAGGCAAGGAACGTCGTTCGATCCAGCAACCACCCCACCATCCCCGTCCCGTACAATTCCCCTTTGACAACTGCTAAATTCCACTGCAACAGAATCTGCAAAAGGTCACCGAGAACATAATAATATACAGCCCAAGAAATCTTGGAAACGACGAATGCCCAGCGAGATAGGTTCTCAGACCTGCGAGGGATGCGTGCCGTGGGCTCATATGTCCAGCCCACCCCACGATGGGCCGTCAGAAGGCGGACCACCCACAACATACGCGCACGGAGGGATGCAGAGGGGATATGCCGTTTATCGTTTTGAAGTCGGAGATCGTTCTGGACATCAGTCAGAAGGATGAAGTCGGAGGCAGTGGCAATGCGGAAGGCGAGGCCATAGCCTCTAAATCGAGCCGTTTTTGTGGATCCCTCTGGTGGTGGTACATAAAGAAGTAGCCAGATGTTGGCGCAGAGTATAGGCAGGAAAAAAAGTCTACGAGATGGCGAGGGGCGGGCGACAAGCGCAAAGAAGAACGTCAAGTGGCTGAATAATGCTTCAATGAAGGTTGCGTTGACCATTGAAAGTTCGAAAATCTTGGTGAGCGAGTCAGTCGAATGCTTCTTGTCTGGTATCGAGTCCTTGCTCCGAGCGCAATGGAAGAACAAGATTGATTTCGACCGGACCCTGTGGTTGGCAAATCCTTCTTCGGCAGAGCATGAGTCGTTCATCCCAGCCGTCAGTCACAACAACGGCTTCGCATCCGGCTTGGAACCTTCCAGAAATTGGAGCCTTTGTCGGAACGGGCGCACAACCAGGGAATATGGCCGAGTATGGATTGACGGAACTTCTGAAAGTTGGCGCAAGAGTGCCATCGACACTGTCCATTTACAGTGCTTTGCACTGCCGTCTGCACAACGGAATTTGGAAAACCTGTTTGTATGTGTTGTACCGTGACTGCCACAAAGCGGGGAGAAACAGACCACTTCATCCAACAAGGCCTAAAATCTCTTGTGCTGAGAGATGATGCCCACCATGCCAAATGGTAATCCGTGTGCGCATCGCATCTGATCCTTATGGCGCCATGGGAGTTGGTTGTGTGCAAATTGTGTGCTCAGATCTGGTTCTGATACGTGACAATCTGTGACGAAAATACAAAACCAAATAGAGTTTTCGAAACTCCCTTGTGCAGACGGCAATGCAAAGCACTGTAACGGAAGCGAGATACGCGGGCTGTATATCGTGCTGCCTTGAAACTGCCCCAAACATAAAGCTGATCCACGAACACGCCATCATTGGTGTGGTCTCTGCCGCCCCAACTCGGCAGATTCAAAGAAGGCGAAAAAAATGGGTGCCGATTTACAGACCACATCTTTATATAAACGAAAGTCATTGAGATGACCACAGGTTCAGCAGAAACGATATGTACCGTTGATTTCCCTTTGGTGGGGACATTTCTGCATCCACTTGATCGTACTTCAAGACATCCGAGTGGGTATTTGCGGTCATGTACGCCGGGCAGTCAACCGTCACAACGTCCGAGTCAATACTGACAATGGGCTCCGAAACGAACTATCGTTAGTCAACGCCTTTCAACCCTGGTAAGTAGATGCGACTCACGCGACCAGAACTCTCCACTGAGGGCATTTGTAGTCGTATTACGAGGATGAGATGAACCAAATCTGACTCGCGGGCAGCTCGCATTTGGCTCGGAGTCGCATGAGAAAATGTATCATCGGCAACTTCCGGTTGACTAGGGCTAGTGACTTCTGGTACCCATAAATGATGACAGGCTTTTTTCTTTTTTTCGTTTTCCGCACAGAGTACATAAAGCTCGTGGCAAAACTCCGAGAAAATCTCGGCCTTCAGCAGCATGACTTTGAACCTCTTCCACGCTAGATGAAAAAAATTAAAAAGCGGAGCTTCCATGCATGCAAGCGAATAGAAAAATGGAGTCTGCGGTCCGTACCATCCTTTAGATCTTGGGCTAACCCATCTGAGTCTCTCTGCTTCCACTCTCATTCTTTCGTCCCATTACAAAAAGGATGATTGCTTGCCTAGAAGCCAACAGCTCGGACAATGCACCAAAAGGGCGAATTTAAACCTGGCCTTTTCTTATTGGCGGAGGCCATCACCTTCGTCTCCTTGGTGGTTACGCCATCTCGCCACCGTTGGATATTCTTTGTTCCCATATCATCGATCTGCGTCTACCTCTTTCTCTTCACCACATGCGAGAGAAATGCAACCAACAACTTAGTGGCGTGCAACCTATTCACCCTGATTTTCACCTCCTTGGACCTAGTCGTCCTCACCGACGTTCAGAACGAGCTTCGCCTGGTCGGGCAGAAGACGCCCATCAGTGCAGCGTCACTTAGCAGCCGCTTCTGGTGGGCACTTCAACTGTTACATAGTCCCCGAGGTATAGGATGGGCACACGAACCAACGGGTCACATCCGTCCGCACCCAACCACGTCACGCGCCCAATTCCTCCTGGATCAGGTACTGCGGACAGCCAAGTACATCCTTATTTTTGACGTCGCTAGAGTACTCTCCTATTCGAACCCATACTTTCAGAAGGGAGGACTATCTTTAACGGACGCCGGATGGTTATGGAGATCAACGGTGCTTGCGCATGTCGTAACTTCATACACTAGCTTGGGTTTGATCTGTACCGTCTACAGCATTGTGTCAGTCGCCTTGGGACTAACCGCTCCAAGGGAATGGCCACCTTTTTTTGGCTACATAGGGGATGCGTACACGGTTCGTCGTTCTTGGGGGTAAGCAACTTTTTTGACCACAACCCTTGCCTCCTTATTTACTTGCTGTTCATTGGTCCTCCTCTCTCAGTCGCGTTTGGCACCAAGTTATGAGAAGGGTACGTCTCCCCCTTGGACTCACGGCTGATGGTACTCAACTTTTGAACAGTTCCTTCAAGTCGAGTGCGACTTCATCGCATACAAAATCGTGCGACTTCCACGGAAGAGCACCTTCACGACCTACTTTAAACTCTTCGTGGCTTTCTTCATCTCCGGTCTAATCCATTACGCGGGAGATTATGCGGTGCTCGGTCACTGGTCCGGCGGCGGCCTGGTTTGCTTCGTCCTTCAGGCGGTAGCCATCACGTTTGAGGACGCCGTCATCGCAATCGCCTCGAAGTTTGGTTTCGCTAAACCGACTCCCATGAAGAAGCTTTTGGGGTACATCTGGGTAGCCGCGTGGTTCACTTACTCTTTGCCTATCTGGTCAGGTCCACATCTGACAGCCGGATTCATGGAAGACAATGTTCAATTCAGCCCTATTATGGGAGTGTCCCGCGGGAAATGGTTTCCGAAACCTGATCCTGTAAATGTTCTAAGTACAGGTAAAGTACATTTGTGCTCTGGACCTCGAGACGACAATTGAATTTTTACAATGCAGCTTTGTCGAAGATTATCCCCGCTACATGAGCAATTTGTCAACGACTTGCTTTGACCATAGACAGATATTTGAAGGGTACCGTGTAGGGTGGTTAGAATTATTCTTCGGTAGATGGAGACCTCTAGCCGTCATCTGGAGCCGCTTTGGACCAACATGATTTTTTTCTACTGAACGGAGTTAAAACCAGTGACCTGACTGGAATTGATGCATGGCACCATCGATGAACTGGCATCAAATATCGACTCAGAACCCCCACCCTGGGGAGGACAAACTCACAACTCGTTACCTTGAGTTATCTATGAGCGGGTTGTTGTCGCTACCGACGGAGCTTCTCCGAGAAATAGGTGCTGAGGTATGTTGGTTTCCAATCGAGAATCTCTGTTCCAGCCGCCATTCTCACTCAGCTTTGTGTGTTGGGTAGATGGCCGATAAGACTCCGTTTAGTATGCAAACGAATCAACTTCGCTGCGGAGCCACAAATTCTGTCGGAAATCATTTTATCCTCCAAATGGCTTTCGTCTCAGGTCGAGACAACGGAGCCAAAGCCAACGTCTGCTTCTAAATATGCAAACAAGCTCCGAATAGATGACATATGTCCCTCATTAGACCAAACCGGAATCTTGTCTTTGGACGAAGAAGCCAAGATTAGGTCTTTCCTTCTGCGCGCTATTGGTTCCCTTGTTGGGGTTCGTCAAATAATGTGAGTCAAAAAGAGATATTAACTCTGTCCTCTAGATGGGATCTGGGTCAATACGACCCAGAGTGGGCAACTCTTCTAGTCATAGATGCCCTTGCAGCACTCCCGGCTCTGGAGGACCTTCATTTGACTGTTTGGTCGCCTCCAGGTTCTCCCAGTGTGCAATCGTATTACATAGTGCTCGCCGTTCAAATGTTGATCATAACGACTTTCCATTGCATATGAGTGTGGCAGGGTTCGTGGGTCAATTGTGTTCCCAGTTAATATTATCTACAAAAACATTACACCATAGGTCACGAGTGAGAGAAATGCCAGACGAATCCAGGTTGAATCCAGGTTGAATCCAGGAGATAATCAACTTATAGTTGCACCCTGGCCGGGTCAATTTGGAATCACATCTTATAGTGGGTCTGGCTTGACCTCCAAAATACGCTTTGCGTGCGTGGAGGATTCCAACTGACAGGAAACGCAAGGTCATTCAGATTTCATTTTCGGTCTTCAAGCTTGAGTCTGGATCTACAGCCGAAAACTCCTTTGGATTCGATGGATCGTGGAATTGTAATGTCCCCGCCTTTGTGCTCGCCGATGACTCAGTTCGTGGTGGCTCATTCGTCACCTCCAGCGAGGGGGATAGAAAATCCACCATAAAATGAGGGCCCAAGGAGCCCATAGAAACTTCAGGTGGAAACTCCATAGTGACGACATCTGTGAAGGACGAATTGATGGAGGCCAGTGAGTGTTGGCTAGAGGAGTTCATGCGCCTCATGCTCATGACAATCCTGCACGTCTGCAAAACAAGAGGGCTCAGCCGTTCATCAAGATGCCGTTAGAAATGAGTCTTACAGCAATAGAAAAGAGGGTGCTCGGCCAGCTATTCAAACCCATGAGTTTCTTGTCTCCGAAGAGGGACTTGAAGACATACATGAAGATAATGTAGGGATTTGCTGTACGATCCAAATACGAATAAGGAATGCACGCTCCCACCACCGCTAAAGCAACATGAGAAACCACGCAGGAAAGGCTAGAGAAAAACATACACATGACCAAAACGAAACACCACGCCGCACCACGGACAACAAAGGGGACTATTTCTGCTTGCCCAATTACCATATTTCGTTTGCGAAATATAATGTAAAAAAGAAACAAATGAATGATTACGCCGACTCCGCTGTAGAGGAAACACAGTCAGCGTTCATCTCAAGCATACGCAAAGAGTGCCCATGCGTACCCGACAATGACCCCACCATGAAGTGTCCCCGACAAACTACAAACTTCATTGAAGCCTGTATGACGGGCCCACGCCACGAAGGGGAGCGGAAATTGGCAGAACACTATCGGGAGAAGCCATAAGGACTTCTTGCTATGAGGCGTGTAGAGCGCGTAGACTGATTGCGGTGGTCAGGCTTTGAACAGCTTGAAGGTGTGAACTACGCACTTTGTATCATCAAGACTGTGTCAAGCACCACCAGCTGCACCACGCAGCACACCAAGAGAACCATAAACCACACATCGCAGACTTTCGCCGACACAGGGGCTCTGGCTAGCGGATAAAACTGGGACAGGAAAAAGCTCGTGCTGTGGTTAAATCACGCGGGTCAGTCAGTCGTCGCAGCCTAGATGATATAGCGCATCACATACGTTTGAACGACGAGAGCAAAGTATCTCGCGAATGTATAGATGTACTTGACGCTGTTCATGGGAGACCTGTCCAGTTCCCAGAACGGATCAACAAGCGCGCGTGGAAGTTTAAAGTATAGACTTCACCTCCAAATGAAACGGAACTCTGCTCGACATGTTAGGACATAGTCGCCTATGAGAACTAGCAATGAGACCACTGTTCCTCGCGTGATTAATGGTACGACAATAATGAAAGAACAGCGCGCTTACAAGACGAGTAACGCCTGACCATCACCGCAGAGGCGAGATTGACCATAGTGCCGTCGGAGACCTTGACGTCTAACGTCAATGGTGGGGGAACGTGCAGGGGGTGAGAACGAAGGAGAGTTATGTAACCTGTCTGAATTTTAAGGACACTTTGTGGGCAATGTGTATGTTTATTATTGGTACCTCGCAGACCTGCAGGGTGGAGTGAATAAGCTGATCGAGAAATGCTCAGGCCCTTTTCAGGTACGCGCCCATTGCCGTCGGGAAACAAAAGGTGAGACCTAGGCTGACCTAGTCAAGTGTGCAGTGGTGAATCGCAATGGAAAGAGGATGAGCGTTAAAACGTTTGTTGCCATTATCGTCGCTGGATAGTAGCCGATGAGATCACCTTGCTTGTCAAGGTCTCCCAAGGTCATAAATACCAAACAGGTACAATAAGTTTCCCTGCAGCTTCAAAAAAGGAGGAGGAGAGGAGGGACTCTACACAGGAATTCCAGTATTTTAGTGTAACTATGTAGTATACATGATGTACATATCTTCAATCAAGATGTTGACGTTGTTCTGCCAGTGGAACTCGAGCATTCAACCGCTCTACCCTCCAATTCATAATTCCACGAGGCACTGAGGTCCCTCCTTGCTGCTTCTCTTCGCTCTACCCTCGCGACCCACCACCAGAAACGAGACACCGCTCACGCTGTACCATTCTTCCAAGTGGTTCGTTCGACGATGGCGGGGGGGGGAGGGGGGGGTATTTTCGTATGCGAGGCTTTCACGACGGCGGGTTCTTGTTGCGACGGTTTTACGTGATGGTGAGGGGCTAGTATTTTCGTATGCGAGGCTTTGATGGCGGCGGGTTCGTTTTGCGGCGGTTATGTCAATTCGTTGCGCGAGGCTGAAAGAATGCTCATTAGTAGTAACAGTAAGGAATGCAGGGAGGCCGGCGAGATACCTCGACGTTGTCTTGGGAATGGGGTTGGCGAGCTCCTGGAGCTGTGAGCAGCCGTCGTCGAGTTGGAACCTTGGAGGGCGAGGGCGAGCAAGAAATCACGACACCAAATATCAGTTTGTTTGGCCTCCGCTTGATTCTAAAAATAAGGCGACTTCCCGTTTTGGGATTAAAGTTTGAGGCGGAATCTCAAAAGTGCTTTTCTTGCATATGGCGCACGCGAGCGAGCAAACCGGTGCAAACAACTGGTCTTTTCAAAACATGATATCGTCGTCTCTTTCTTAGCGCCAGCTCCAATGTTTATATACATAACTATGTAGCGCTATAGCTCTTGAACACTGTTTCCTTTGTTACGAAAAAAAAAGTCGCATCGTATTGGTGCAAAGCAGTGTATTTGTCAGCAAGCAAGGTGCCTGCTGCCGCTGCTAAGTGTCAGCCTCTAGTACACCGCCATTTGTACAAAATGCTGATGGCATCTGGCACGAATCTCCGCTTGACAGGTTTCTGATGGAGGTTGCTTCGGCATGGATGGCAGGTGTGTCGGAGCTTGGCACGTAAATGTTAGCCCCAGCAGTCCGACACCTGGCCCACAGGTTTACGACTCTCCTTGGGAAGACCTGTTCTGCCGATTTTCTTCGGGGAATGAAATAGTGTACTTAGGATAGAAATTAATCATAAGAAAGTAATAAAGCGATACAATGAGTGCTTCCAAGTTCTTACAGGTGGAAAAAATGGGGAACTTTGAGCTCAACAGGAAAAGGCCCGTGCGTTAAGCTCTCGAAAATCTCTCTAAGTCGTTTTAAACTCCGCGCTATGTTTGGTTATTTTCAAATTTCAACCAGAACCAAACTTACCTTCTTCATCACAACCCATCTCCCCTCACCTGGCCGCTCCGCTCCCAGCTCGCTCCCATTCTCGTTATCACAGGAGTTGTTGTTTTCATCCATGTTCTGTTACCCACTGGCCTGTGCCCCCATGTAATCTCCCTGTTTTTAATTCTTTGGTTGTCCGTGTTCCCTACCCGTGCGCCTGTGCATGGTCGCTACCATTTGTTGCTGTTCTGGGCTTTTGTTCGCCCATTGCCCCTTGTATTTCCCCCCCGACGAGTACCCGCTTGCTAACTTATTTCTGCATTGCGTCATGTAGCGGCAGCCGGATCAGACGCCTCTAACCTCTACCACGCCCATCACCACATCAACAAATGGCGACGAGGGCTCATAACTACCACCACCACCACCACCAACAACAACGAGGGCCCACCACCACCGTCAATGAACGACGATGAGCACCCAGGACCACCGTCAACGAAAGGTGATGAGCACCCACTACCACCACATCGTACGCCCACCACCATCAACCAATGGCCACCATCACCACCACCTACAACAACGAGGGCCCAGCACCACTGTCAACGAATGGCGACCAGGGTCTGCAACCACCATCACCTCCAACGAGGGCCCAGCACCTGTCAACGAACGGCGATGAGGACCCACCACCACCACCTATGGACCACGTCAAACGCCCATCCATGAACCAGCCAGGTCCGTTGGGTAGTAGATAGCGTAGTTGTAAACACCTCTTGTATTCCCTTGTAACAATACAATTCATTCTTTTGTTCATGCTTTCCATCAACTGAATTTCTACTGAATGAATACATGTACCGAGACAAATTTAACAGGTCTAACTAAAAGCTCTTCGTAATACCATGGAATACAGCCCACCTACATATAGGCATAGGTGGGCTGAAGCACCCTTGCCACTGGACATCCACCTGGCCCTTCAGCTGTTATCAATATCTGAACTATCCTGGCCGCAACTTGGAGGGACAGCTGTTGTCAACATCCAGCCCAAACGTGAGAGCTACATCAACCTGGGGACACGCTGTCGTTGGCCAGTAATGACTGTTGGGAAAAGGTCCCATCAGCATGTCTGACAGCTGCCAAATTATGCTGGTCAGGATTTGTCACCCACCTTTCTCTCACATGTTCATCATTTGGCGGTGTAACTTAAGCTTCGTGTGAATATAGAGAAAGGAGGGAGTATTTAATACAGCAAATATTTAAATACAAGAAATCCGTGAACATGGATAACTTGTTGCTATGTGAGAGTCGAGCTTTCAGGCTCGGAGGTGTTTTTCGGTTTCGTCTTGTTTTTGAGCTCTTTTTTGAGTTGTTTTTGATGTTGTTTTTTGCAAGTTTTTTGATTGAAAAACAAGATATAAAACAAGCCGAAAAACGCTACTGTGAACTACTCTATACTTAATCTATGTAGCTACTACTTACTAGACATACATACGAGTAGCTCTGTCTCAATAATCAACCTCCTTCCTCAGGCTGCCTTCATGTCTCAACAGTACCCAATGGAGATGGCCCGAGTGGAAGAGTGGAAAGGCTCGAAAACACAGTTGAGGATGATGATGGATTCTCCCTGCTGCTCTACAAACCATGTATCTACTCCCAAGCTCTTGCCAATACACTTGTCTCAGTGAAATCCTTCAACATCGGGAATGAGGCGGATGCAAGGCGGATGACTTTAAGAACTGCTGTGCACCTAGTGACAAAACTTAACTAATTATAAAGTGTTTACAATAATATGTAATACACCATAAGAGAAATGCCAGACAAATCCAGGAGACAATCAACTCATAGTTGCACCACAGGTCAAGTTGGAATGGCATGTTATAGTGGATCTGGCTTGACCTTCGATGGTGACCGAAATACACTTTGCATGGAGTATTCCAACCGACAGCATACGTGAGGTCATTTAGATTTCACTTTCGGTCTTCAAGCTTGTGTCTGGATCTACAGCCGAAAACTCCTTTGGATCCGATGGATCGTAGAATTGTAATGTCCCTGCCTTTATGCTCGTCAATGACTCAGTTGGTGGTGGCTCATTCGTCACCTCCAACGAGGAGGTGAGAAAGTCCACCACAAACTCAGGCTGAGAGCCCAAGGAGCCGACAGAGACTTGAGGTGAAAACTCTATAGTGGCGACATCTGTGAAAGACAAATTGATGAACGATGACTGTTGGCCGGAAGAGTTCATGCGCCTCATGCTTATGATAAGCCTGCATGTCTGCAAAATGAGAGGGATCAGCCGTTTACCAAGATGACGTTAGAAAAGAGTCTTACAGTAATAGAAAAGAAGGTGATCGGCCAGCTATTCAAACCCATGAGTTCTTGTCTCCGAAGAGGGACTTGAAGACGTACATGAAGATAATGTATGGATTTGCTGTACGATCCATATACGAATAAGGAATGAGCACTCCCACCATCGCTAACGCGACATGAGAAATCGCCCAGGAAAACCCAGAGAAAAACATACACAAGACCAAAACGAAACACCACGCCCCACCACGGATAACAAAGGAGACAATTTCTGATTCCCCACCTCGCTTGCGAAATATAATGTAAAAAAGCAACAAATGGACGGTTACCCCGACTCCGCTGTAGAGGAAATACAGTCAGCGTTCATCTCAAGCATACGCAAAGAGTACCCATGCGTACCCGGCAACATCCCCACCATGAAGTGTCCCCGTTACACTACAAACTTCATCGAAGCCTATTTCACGAGCCCACGCCCCGAAGGGGAGCGGAAATTGGCCGAACACTATCGGGAGAAGATATAAGACATTATTGCCATGAGGCGCGTAGAGCGCGTAGACTGATCGCGGTAGTCAGGCCTTGAGAAGCTTGAAAATGTGAAATACGCACTTTGTAACATCAAGACTGCGTCAAACGCCGCCAGCTGCACCACGCAGCACACCAAGAGGACCATAAACCACACATTGCAGACTTGCGGCGACACTGGGGGTCTGGCTAGCGGATAAAACTGGGATATGAAAAAGCTCGTGCTGTGGTAAAATCATGTGGGTCAGTCAGTCGTCGCAGCCAAGATGATATGGCTCATCACATACGTTTGAACGACGAGAGCAAAGTATCTCGCGAATATATAAATGTACTTGACGCCATTTATCGGAGACCTATCCAGTTGCCAGAACGGATCAACAGCGCGCGAGGCAGTTTAAAGGATAGACTTCACCCCCAAATGAAACGGAACTCTGCTCGACAGGTGAGGACATAGTCGCCTATGAGAACTAGCAATGAGGCCACTGTTCCTTGCGTGATCAATGATACGACAAGAGTGAAAGAATAGCGCGCTTACAAGACGAGTAACGCCTGACAATCACCGCAGAGGCGAGATTGACCATGGTGCCGCGGAAGACCGTGACGTTTAACCCCAATCGAGGGGAACTTGAAGGGGGTGAGAATGAAAGAGAGTTGTGTAACCCGACTGAACTTTAAGGACGTTTTTTGTGCATGTTTATTATTGGTACATCGCAGGCCTGCAGGGTGGAGTGAATAAGCCGCTCGAGAAGCGCTCAGGCCAGGACTGGCCCGATCAGAAAACCTATGTGAATTCTGGATCGTCGTGAACCTGAGAGTCAACGTTCAACGTTCAACGTTCAACGCTCTTCAAGACCATTTGAGGCATTGTTCACAGCACTCACGACATCGCTCAAAGTCTTCCCCATGACAAGTTCGGGGCTCCTGTAAGAAAACACCTAATAATTCAGATGGGCAGCTGCATACAGATACAATCATACAAAACGAGGACAGGTAGAACCTTTCACTTCAGCTCTAATTCATAGGGTCAAATTGTACTCGTACTCGCTGCTCGTACTCTGCGAGATCCAGAGAACCACAGCCGACAACATCATCGCAACGCTTTGCGAGACATTCGCATAGCCGTAGTAGACGAACTGTTCTGGATATCCGTTCAAGACATACTTCAAGACCAGAACCGTCTGCAAGGTCAAGTTATTAATGCCAAAGTCGCAAAAAGTGGCGTAGAGAGTGGGGTACTCACGACACTTCCAGCCAAACCCCCCGCCATCAGCGCAAACCCAATGAACAGAATCAATCGTGCCCTCCACACGGCCCTTGAATCTCCAAGACCCTCATCCCCTCGTATTCTGTCTTTATCAATCAAGTTGATAACGAGATATCCCAGCAAAGAGCAGATTCCCGGAATCCAGTCTACGAATGTGACGTGGACGGGCGGCGGGGCGTCTGGTTGGTCTCCCCAAGGAGATTTTGCATGAGCAGACAGGATCGCAGCGTCCAAAAAAGTCCAATTCGCCAACGTAAACTATCCATGTAACGTTCAGCATCTAATCCCGACCCATAAAGCAATTCCCCAACGTACTAGTGCACCCGCTAGGTATACCCCAATCGCCCGTCGACGTTTCCCAAACGTGAACTCTGGAAAGGGGTTCAGGCACACCCGCCTGGGGTCGTAGTTTGCTCTTGGAAGCGACATGAAAGTGCGAGCGCTTGAGGTCGATAAGAAGTGGGATGAAGGTGACTGCGGGTGTCGTGGCGAGGTGGCGGAGACGGTGCTTGTGGTGCTATGCAGATCGTGGGAATTAGGAGTCGTGTCTTCCCACACTTGGACTTCCGTCTCCACTCGAATTTTCAGGGGCACTACGGGCTCACTCATGTCGAAGATGTCAAGGTTGCGCATTTTTGAAGAACTTGGAGTGGAGGAGGTGGTGGTGGTGGGGAGTTGGAGAAAATTTTGTCGACCCGCTACATAATAGGTAAGTACTTCTTGCGTACCCAGACTTCGCGGCAATCAGCTGAATGAATGGAGGGGACAGGGTGACTTTGTTGCATTTGATTTTCTGGGCAGACGATGTCGAGCACATCTCTCATAAAGGGGCTCGAATGGGCTCCTGACCAAGTTATTTTCAGCTTATACTTAGCCCCCTCTCATCAGGACGAGGTACTTAAATAAGTCGACGGTACACTCAACTCACATATCACCTCGATAACATATCCTCATGCTGTCGACAGAGAAACTGTTTGGTTTGAAAAACACCTAATTTCGACCAGGTAATGTCGCGTTTGACTAGTAACGGGCAGACAACGCAGAGACCACCACACGCGCCACTGGATATCGACAATGCTCAAAACCACCCAGTGTACCCCAAAGCACTTCTTTGCCGTCCAGCTTTGTCCCTCGGTCACAACGCGTTGCTCTATGTACCTCAGGGCCAAGTCTATTGAGCCATAAAGCCATGTATGGCCACCAACGGACTCCACTGAGCTTTGTCTTCCAAATTCGGTGGCACGGTGGCCTCATCGTGTATGGATCCATGGGATGACAATGGCGGGGGCGAGCCACACTATATATCTTCTTGGTCAAGGCGGTGGCCATTGGCTAGTATTTAACGAGCACACATTCCGGTGTAGAACTCTCCAACAAACTACCCTCCAAGCTCACCGCGCACATACACCCCCACACCTCTCTTATTCAACATGTCCGCCAAGTGGTACCCAGAAGGCTACTCCTACCCTACCCTGCCACCCAACTTTGGGGGCTCCCCCGCTACCAGTTCGTCCGGAAACTCCTCCGGTCATCGTCCCTCCCCCAGTCGATCGACTGTACCGGCACGCGATGGCGCAGCAGGACGAGTTGGTTATTATGACCGCTCTATTAAATCGACCTCTTGCCACACCTCTGTCCTTGGCCATCCCCCGCTTGACTCGACTGCTGGTCGGCCAGAGCTTGTTTCTGGGGTTGATTATTTCAAGGTGCGTTTTTTCGGGCTTTCCGGTGGTTTCCAGATTAATTTATTGTCTGTAGATTGGAGAGATTGTTCAGATTCGTCGCTACCATTCCGCGGACAATGCTTACAGCAACTGGCTGCCTGGAAGGGTCGTCCGCCCCATCTTTAAACCCTGTGTAAGTTTATTCAAGCGTAACAACCTCAACCTTACTGACTGTACGATTAATAGACTATCGGAGGAGACAGCAGGAGCTATGTCGTCTCCTACACGGACCCGTATACTCAAGATTACAAGGAAAAGACTTTCTCTCCCTGGCTCAACGAAATTTCGGAAATCGCACTTGAGAGGCCTTCCTCTGCCTGCTCCAACAAACCAACTAAAGAGAGCACCGACACCGCTGCAGTTCCGCGTATGAACGTAAGCTCATTTTATACCTCGTCATTTTCTCACATTCTGACGTTCACAATCATGACAGGCTCCAGTTTACGCTCGCGTCAAATTGCCCCAGTGGACGAAAGAAGGCACGCAAGAGAGTAGACGCGTTTGGGTTCCAGCGCTTCCCCTTGTACGCATTCCGTTCAATATTTATTTGGATGACCTGAATTGACATTACGCATCGTTGCAGGCCCCACCTGGTGTGCATGGCCTCCACATCCGTGTCCTTGCCGGGCAAGCTGCGCATCAGGAGTTCTCCGGGGTTACAGAGATCTTACCGTACTCGCCCAAGACTGTCTCCGAGTGTAGGAAGAAAGGCCAGCTTGTGGAAGGTGATGGTCTGAAGAGATATCTTTAGACGTAGATTATTTATATGTGATCTGGGAAGGTTCTACCTTGGTTTTATTCCTTTCAAGCAGCTTGTTTATAAAATTTAAAATATAACACTTGTAAAACACTTCGAACACGACTTTGACACGACTTTGAAAAGTCTAAAGGAAATCGACGTTAGTCAACGGCCCGAGAGCACCTTACTAATGGTAAAAACTGGTGGTTACGTAACTGGCTATTTTGTCATGAAGTTTGAACGCGTAACCTATCTTCTCCAAACGGCAGATTGGCAAGACGACGACGATGAGCGACGATTTGGCACGGATTTCAACGGTGAGCAGCAGTGAGCCTGGCCGAAATCAGTCCTAAATCCTTGTAGTAGGCGGGATTAATGACAAATTGGGTCCAACATTACCGCAATTCCGTCGGCACGAAAACGCGTACACATGCCAAGGTCCCATTTGTCAACGTCGCTGACGTCCGATTGAGCATCGAAAAAAAAATCTTATCTTCCGCTTATGGATCATACGATCTCTATCACTGCCGCCTTGCCTAGAGATTTCGTATTCAAGGAAGGGGGTACAAATACCCAACCTTCATTTCATGTCCGTCAAATAGGACATTAGGATGTCAGACCCACTTCCATTAACCGACATTGCTGAGGAGACGCCCTCTGGATCGGTTTCCAGGGCGGCTTCTTATCCCACTCTTTATAACGTCGATACCCCCCTTTCACAACACGCTGAAGAGGACCACCATGCTTCGAACGTGCATGCCAATCCTCATGGACACCCAGACCACTCACCGCCGCCGCCCGTATCGCCAAAGATGGGGTATACTCGAGCCAGAAGTGGTTCCTCTGTATCTCATGTCAATATCGAGTTTTTCGATCCAGAAGGTGTTCAGGCCTTGCGGAGGACGATGACTGAGGAGGCTCAGAACCGCGGCCGACCGTCTGCCGCGTCTTCATCCACTGATCATACCCTAACCGATGGGCCTTTCGATTTTGAAAAGACCATTCGTCATCATGTTCGAAGGTACGTGTCCAATTTCGTCCCATCTAACACGGAGATCTGATATCACATCTAGACGAGAAGAAGCACAAATCACGCAGCGATCCATTGGTGTCGGCTTTCAGAACCTCCGTGTCGTCGGACTTGGTGCTTCTGCGTCATATCAGCCAACCCTGGGATCTTTGCTTAACCCCTTGGGCGTTCTTGAGACCGTCCAAAATATCCGCCATCCCGCAGTCCGTGATATTCTTAGTGGATTCGAGGGTGTAATTCGACCGGGGGAGATGATTCGTCAGTTCGCGTTTCTTCTCAATCTCATGTCCGTTCTAACATTTTAATCTTATCAGTCGTTCTGGGTCGGCCCGGTTCCGGATGCAGTACCCTCCTGAAGACACTCGCTAATCAACGGCAAGAGTTCCATGCAGTAGAAGGAGACGTTCACTACGACTCTTTGTCACCTCAAGACATTCACGACCATTTCCGAGGCGATGTGCAATATTGCCCAGAAGACGATGTCCACTTCCCGACCCTCACCGTAGAGCAAACACTCAAATTCGCAGTCACCACACGTACTCCGCGAGCTCGCGTCGACGTCTCCAGGGAGCAATTCCAAGACGAAACGGTGAAGGTCCTCACTACCATTTTTGGGCTACGGCACACTCTAAACACTCCTGTCGGCGATGCTGCCATTCGGGGAGTGAGCGGCGGAGAGAAGAAGCGTGTGTCGATTGCTGAGGCTATGGCCACGAGGAGTTGTGTTGGGGCTTGGGATAAGTATGTTCCCATTCCATATCACAGGAAGAATTTTCACTGATGGACGATTTAGCTCTACTCGAGGGCTCGACTCGAGCACTGCTCTCGAGTTTGTCAAAGCCTTGCGTATCGCGACCGACGTCTTCCACGCGACCACTATCGTTTCCATCTACCAGGCTGGAGAGTCGCTGTACAAGCACTTTGACAAGGTTTGCGTCATCTATGAGGGCCGCATGGCTTATTTTGGCACTGCGGACAAAGCAAGGCAGCATTTCATTGACATGGGGTGAGTCTTAGTCGCCATCATCAGATATCCATCATCTGAAACCTTTTTGTCTAGCTACGAACCTGCGAACAGGCAAACTACCGCCGACTTCCTCGTAGCAGTCACAGATCCTAACGGCCGCATTCCCCGAGCTGGGGTCATCTCCCAACCACGTACTGCAGCGGAATTTGCGGAATACTTCCTCAAGTCCGAGGCGGGCAAAGAAAACCGTGCGGATTTGGACTCGTACCTGGAAGAGTTTGTGGGGAAGCCTCATGTGGCATCTGCGTATATGACCAGTGCTCGTGCTGAGTTCGCCAAAGGAAGTGGGAAGAAGAACCCGTACATGTTGACTATCCCCCAGCAAGTTCGGGCTGTCATGAAGCGAAGGGTACAGATCATTCGAGGGAACCTTCTTGCTACTGGGCTTCAAGTTTTGTAAGTCACTTACTGCTCGATTACGCCGGCTCTATTTGCTGATTGTTTCGTAGCTCTTTCATTTTCCAGTCATTGATCATGGGCAGCGTCTTCCTCAAGATGCCCCAGAACACGGCCAACTTCTTCTCACGTGGCGGTATCCTCTTCTTGTTTGTCTTCCCTTGTTCCGTATTGCTTACCGCTTACTTACCCACCCAACTTTTCACCAGCGCCTTGCTCTTCTCAGCCTTGACAAGTATGGCTGAGATCCCCGCTCTCTACTCTCAGCGCCCCATTGTGTTGAGGCACGAGAGGGCAGCGCTTTACCACCCCTTCATCGAAGCCCTGGCTCTTACTTTGGTCGATGTGCCGCTTACGTTCCTTACCACCATTGTTTTCTCGATTATCTTATATTTCATGACTGGTCTTCAAAGAACGGCCTCTCAATTCTTGTACGTCGCCTCTTCGATTCAAGTGGCATTGGTGCTGATACTGATCGACGCTCATGTAGCGTCTTTATACTGTTCTTGTTTACCATGTCTATTACTATGAAGGCCTGGTTTAGGACTATCGCTGCTGCTTTCAAATCTGAGGCAGCCGCTCAATCGGTCGCGGGTATTGCTATCCTTGCCCTTTCTATCTACACTGGTGAGTGCATATCAGTCCTCTTGACATCTGGTAGTTTTCTAACGAGTAACATTCTAGGCTTCACCATTCCCAAGCCCTCGATGATTGGCGCTTTGAGGTGGATCACATACATCAATGTAAGCTCCAAATCCGGTTGGAACAATGAATTGTCACTGACCTACTATCCTTTCTAGCCTCTCCGTTACGGGTGAGAGCTGTGCTTTAATTCTGTTACGAGCGAAAGCTGACGACATTGCTCAGATTTGAGGCGATGATAACTAACGAATTCCGAACTCTCGAAGGGGAATGTTCCTCCCTAGTTCCTCGTGGTCCTGGCTACGAGAACATTACCCTCGCCAACCAAGTGTGCACAACTGTAGGGTCCGTACCTGGGCAACCCTTCGTGGACGGCAACAGGTTCGCCGCCATCTCATACGGCTTTTTCTGGTCCAAGACCTGGATGGTGTGTTTCTTCTTATTCTGATCAAGCAACTTGAGGTCAATGTTCCTTTGTAGAACTTTGGCATAGTCATCGCTTTTGGAGTCGGTTTCCTGACGTTTTTGCTGCTCTTCACTGAGTTCAACACCGCTTCTGCTGTCGAGTCATCCGTCATGCTCTTCAAGCGTGGAACTGGTCCCAACAACGGCTCCAACGTTAACGACGAAGAAGCCATCAATGAAAAAGACTCTAGAGGCCTGGTGATTTCTGACGACGACGAGAAGCTCCAGAAAGAGGACACACCCAGTGCTCCTGCCATGAACGACGTTTTTACGTGGCAACGCGTTCGTTACACGGTTCCTATTGCCGGGCAGGACGACAGGTTGTTGCTTTCCGACGTATCGGGTTATGTGGCCCCTGGCAAGCTCACGGCTTTGATGGGAGAGTCGGGCGCGGGAAAGACAACTCTGCTCAATGTGCTCGCCCAGCGCGTCTCCACGGGCGTGGTCACGGGCGATAGGTTCGTTAACGGGCAAGCTCTTCCAGCCGATTTCCAATCTCAATCGTGAGTATTTGTCATCCTATTCGTCATCCCTCGCATTTTGAATGACCATGTTACAGTGGTTACTGCCAACAAATGGACACTCATGTACCGACTGCTACTGTCCGTGAAGCTCTCCTGTTTTCGGCAAAACTCCGTCAACCGAAATCCGTTCCTTTGGCAGAGAAAGAGGCATAGTGAGTCTTTCGTATCTAACAACGTTTCTCCCAGACCTGATGTCGGCCAGTGTCGAGAAGTGTCTGAAGATGTGTGGTCTTGAAAAATACGCAAACGCTTCTGTTGGATCTCTTGGCATCGAACATCGGAAGCGTACGACTATTGCTGTTGAACTTGCAGCGAAGGTCAGTCCTGAACAAACGACTGGAATATGCTTCAACTGACGCATAGTTTAGCCAAAACTTTTGTTGTTCCTTGACGAACCTACCTCAGGTCTTGACTCGCAAAGTGCGTGGGCAATCATGTCATTCTTGAGGAGTCTCGCAGATAATGGTCAGGCCATTCTTTGCACGTATGTCCTTGCCATTCTAGGTTATGTTCTTCCCTGACTGTTCTCCGTCTTCCAGAATACATCAGCCGTCAGCGGAGTTGTTCCAAGTATGATTCCGTCTGCTCTTATTCCACACAATGTTTAACGCTATCATTGTCAGGTTTTCGACAGGTTGCTACTTCTGCAAAAGGGTGGTCGCACTGCCTACTTCGGTGACCTTGGTCGAAACGCTACCACCTTGATTGACTACTTTGAGAAGAATGGGGCACGGCCTTGTCTTGACGACGAAAATCCGTGAGTTTGCAATTATCTGACCAAGAACGCTCAGTTAAGTTTGCCCATGATTTAGTGCGGAGTACATGCTGGACGTCATCGGAGCTGGTGCAACCGCTACGAGCAAACAAGATTGGTATCAACTCTGGCAATCATCTCAAGAGTCAAAGGACAACCAGCAGGAAATCGAAGCTATCCACGCTGAAGGTCGTAATCGACCAGCAATTGCCGCATCCATCCGTACCGAATTCGCCACTCCTTGGGCATACCAGGTAGTCGAACTTCTCAAGCGTGATGCTGAAGCGCATTGGAGAAATCCCACGTACCTCATGGCGAAGCTCATCCTGAACATTGTTGGTGGTCTTTTCATCGGGTTCACGTTCTTCAAGGCCAAGCATAGCATCCAAGGCACGCAGAACAAGCTCTTCGCGATCTTCATGGCAACGATCCTCAGGTAGGGGACCTTTTTCTCTCTGTAGAACCGACAGTTGATTCCTTATCCAGTGTCCCCCTCTCGAATCAACTACAAGTTCCTTTCATTGACATGAGAACTGTGTATGAGATTCGTGAACGTCCTAGTAGGATGTACAGCTGGACTGCGCTCGTTACTTCGCAGGTCCTCATTGAACTCCCTTGGAACATTGTAGGAGCCACTCTGTTATTCTTGACGTGGTTCTGGACCGTGGGTTTTGAGTCGTCACGAGGCGGGTATACTTATCTAATGCTGGGAATCGCGTTCCCACTTTATTATACTACGATTGCACAAGTAAGCTGCCCATCGCGTCACAATGCTTACAGAACTAATCTCATCACCCACAGGCTGTCGCAGCAATGGCACCAAGTGCGGAAATTGCAGCCTTGTTATTCTCATTCTTGTTCTCCTTTGTCATTACCTTGTGAGTATCTTTATGCGAAATAACTGATCTGTCTGAGTGCCGACGTGGTAATTCAGTAATGGTGTGTTGCAACCCTTTGCCCAACTCGGCTGGTGGCGCTGGATGTGAGTTGTGTGCCCGTTGTTCTTTTCATCAAGGCTGACATGCGTGTTTGTAGGTACCGCCTGTCACCATATACCTATCTGATCGAAGGCCTTCTCGGTCAAGGTTCGTTATCGTCTGTCTCCCTTTCGTTAGTTCATCCCTAATCTATACCACAGCTATCGGTGGCCAACAAGTGTCCTGCTCACCCGTCGAATTTGTGTCGATCACCCCACCTAGCGGGATGACCTGCGGCGAATACATGAACCCATTCATTTCGGTTGCAGGTGGCTACCTCACCAACGCAGATGCCACCTCCGCCTGTCAGTTCTGCAGCATCCGCACGACGGACCAGTTCCTCAATGCCGCATTCAATATCTTTTATAACCACCATTGGCGGAATTTTGGCTTCATGATGGCGTTCTTTGTGTTCAATGTAGGTTCTGTTCTTTTACGTTGCTTACGATAAAAGCTGACGAGGTATGACAGTTCTCTTGTATCTACCTTCTCACATATATCTTCCGGATTCGCGAGGGCAGCATTTTACCCTCGTTTAAGAGGCGTGCTGCCAAGAAGTAATGTATCCATTGACATCTAGACAAACGGGCACTCGTCCCTTAATTGTTATGCGGACTTTATCCTAGATAGATTAGAAGCTGGGTCGAGGATTCTTCATTTTATTCACAAGGGAGGAATATATATCAAACGGACCTAATGTATTCATCTTACGCAGTACATTACGATTGATACGAAATCGTCAATCGTATCACTAGTCGCATAGATTCAGAAAGAAAAGTTATACAATATGTAGCAAAAAGACTAAATCTGCCCAATCTTGGACATGACATGCGATATCTCTTCTTCCCAGGAAACAACAGGCGACGCAAGTGTATCTCCCCCAGAGGTGAACAGGGAATCCTCAATCAGAGACCTAGATTCCGTAGCAGAAACTCCTTTGGTCGTCTGCTCCTCCCATATGCATGAGCCCGTAGCGTAGATCCCAGGAACTTGTGAGTCCCCATCTCTGGAAGTGAATAACGAATCCGATTCTTCACTCCCACTCAAACCCGTGCCAGTCGAATCTCCGGCTTGCCTTTCAACAGAAAAGATCCTTCGCATAGGTCCCAACGCCGCTGCCGAGTCGCTCTCACATACTACAGCTTGGGAGGGGGTGGGAAGGAACGGCGCAGGGGGGTGGAGGATGCTATTGGTTGACACGGAGCGAGGAGCGGAGCAGGGGCGGACGATGGTTCCCGGATCCAGACCCAGCCCAGCGCCAGGCAGGAGCGGCACCTTCGTGGGCGGGTGTAAGGAAGGAGGCAAGGCGTAAGTGGGCGAAGCAGCCGGACGGCGAGGGGACATGGTGGGGACGGATAATTGTTGTTGGCCTGGGACGTGTATGGGGATGCTGTACTTCGACGAGGACTTGTTTGGTGGTAACGATAGGGCGTATTGTGGAGTAGGTGAATTGGGTTGGGATGTGTATGCTTGTGGGAGTTGCGCTAGTTTGGTGTTGTCGCCCACAGTGCGGTACGTGGAACTCGGTGCGAAGAGGCGGAAGAAGGAGGAGATAGCGGTTGGGGCGTTGTTCCCCTCAGTGTCGATGAATCGGCCATTAGAACCACGCATCCAGTGGACGAGGGAGCGCCGTTCGCGAAGCTCTGGGTCCAGTTCTACAGATGTCAGCCTCCGGAAGAAGGGCGCGAGGAGGCGACGGTTTCGAAGGATAGGGGAGAGGTAGAAGTAGAGGAAGATTGAGAGGACGACGATTGTGATGAAGAAGGCTAGGGCTGAGGAAAGTGGTTAAATATTGACGAGACATTGAAGAAACAGTCAAGCTTACTTGTTGCACCACCAAAGCCTTGAACATCTGGTACAATTCGACCATCGTCTGTGATCAACCTGCGAGTTAACTTGTGCGGATTAAGGGTATGATGGGGCATATTTTCGAGGTTGGGCATGGCGGAACTTAAAGAAGGTGAGGTCAACGAGACCGATGTGGGTTGCCCAAGAGCGTTTGAGAGGATAATGACACCTGGTAGCAGATGTCCATCACGGTTGAGGCCGGCAGTTTAAGTAGGCATAGCCTGCGGCTGACTGGTCACACAATGCGAGAATAAATTTAGAAACAGACTGGAGCAAATCCAGGCCAATGGGCGACTTGGCACACTTGAGATGTATGTCAAAAGAAGCCTCTTGAATGTTCTTGGACAATGGTGTATCCGCCTCGATTGTGAGGAGCGTATCATGATGTTGACTTGTTGTTGGATCGGCCTTGCAATACTTTTCAAGGTGCCAAACACTGTTCAGTAAGAGAAATCTTCTGGCAATAAAGATGGCATCGAAACCCTGATAGTTGCTTGAGTCTAGAAAGGGGAAATTCCCAGCCGTCAGGAATGGGGAATCATCACTTCATGACATAAATCATCGGACGATCGTCGCCAACATTCTTTTGTATGTTCTCTCGTACGGGAATCCCCTTGTTCGACGACGGTTGTTCACTAGACGCAGCGCACCGCCCTACATCTGTTGAGTTCGACCCATAAATAATGTAGAAATGAGGAAGCGGTGGAACAGCTCAAAAGTTGTCGCACCAATGTTTTCAATAACCTTCGACGCAGCTTCATCTACTTTTCCTGGCTGTTAAGAAAAATCAAGTCGGCAACGCGACCGCCTTGATAAAAGTTGGCCATCGATGGCCAAGAAACCCTCCTGTCGCCAATATGCAGGATCTGGGGGGCATTAAAAAGTATGATTCGAGCACTTACCGCTAGGAGCAAGTTGGAGATTAGGGTGTTTCACAGTAGGCCAACTTAGGTCCCAACTTGATCCCCAACTTGGTGAGCAACTTTTGCCAAGTTGGAAGGACAAAGTTTGACCAACTTCATGAAGTTGGGATGCAAATCGTGGTCCTGACGCCGATTTGCAGCCAACTTTGATCCCAACTTGGTGCCCAACTTCACCTTCCAACTTCCCACGTATCCAAAATAGGCAGAAATCTGCATCCGGAATTCCTTCCGAGCCCAAATCAACCCAACTTTATGTTTTCTGCAGTTCAAGGTGTTTCACGGTAGAGTTGGCCAACTTCCTCCTCAACTTTGTTGAAGTTGGCCATCAAGTTGAGATGAAAGTTGGGACCTAAGTAGGCCTACTGTGAAACAGCCTATTGCTTGACAAGTCAGATGACCAGAAGACGCCATCACGTGAAACATTCGCGTCGCATTCACCATTTGGTTTTTAGGTGAAGGTCTCCTGTTGCACTCTACTCTACAATTCATCATAACTTACAGATCGTGGTTACAGACCATAGATGCACCTGCCTCAACTCTTGGTCGAATCACGACATCACTATCGCAAACTTACAAAGCTTCTTTACCAAGTTCTCCCTTCACGACAACAGCATCATGGATCAGTCTTCCTCTTCAATTTGTGCGATGGGTCGGTACCCTAGGTCTGCACCCAAATCGTCACGCAGTACCGCATATTATTATTCTGTCCAAGGCGCGCAAACATGGATCGCGTGATTGCAGGTGGGCCCATAACTTTCCACATTCTGCTTGATCCATCCCCTCATCCTCGCACGATGCATACTAGCCCCGCTCCCACACTTGGATCCTCGACTGTGTTGAGGAGAGGTGCCTCGTATCCTTAGACTTTTCAAAATGGGTAGAGTTGCGCATAAGTATGTCCAAAAGCGACCACTGAATTTTACGTTTGAAATGGTATGACTGGTTTTGAATAGAAAGACGTACGATTGCATTTTCTTTGGTAGGGGATTGACTCTTCGCATAAGCGTGGACCTTTTCTTCTCCCCTCGGAATGTCCTCAGAGTTTATAGATAATTCAAGAAGGGAAAGGCGTGTGGCTTTTTTGATTATGTTGGAACAATGTTTTCCAAAACACCACATTCCTTCAGACCAGAAAATGATGTTAAGTATTCGACCAAGGCAGGCTGGGCGTTGTCCGTGACAAGTTCTTGTAGGTGAATTTTCTCTGATCGCAAAGTTGACCAAATTTTTTGTGCCGAGAATTCAGGACCCTGATATTCTGTAGTTTCATCATAGGGCGAGGAGATGTTCATTATGGTGAGCGAGATCAACGATCTCAAATGGCGAAGTGCGCCAGCGTCGAATTTCACAAATAGGCCGCTCAAATTGAGATGTGTAATTTTCAAGCAAACTGAACTAGATGTCTCCGCGAGAAAGTCTTGGAGGGTTGGCGCGTATCCACCGGAGTAGTAGCCATCATTAACAATTGTGATACTCGTCAACTCCGGCTGGTTCCATCCAATCAGTCCTGCGACGGTGCGGATAACTGCGGTGCGATTACTGAAGTCAGAGATAAAGGTGAATTTTTTGAGGTTGGACAGCCGCTGGAATTGCACACAGGGAGAATCTGGAGCCAACCAAACACTCAAATGAAGATCCTCCAGAGCCGGGAGTGATGCAAGGGCATCTGTGACTAGAAGAGTTGCCCACTCTGGGTCGTATTCACCCAGATCCCATCTAGTAGAGGAAGGAGTTAATATATTCTCTGAATCCTGGGACTTGACTCACATTATTTGACGAACCCCAACAAGGGAACTGATAGCGGACAGGAGGAACGACCTAATCTTGGCTTCTTCAAAAGATATAACACCTTTTTCGTCTGGAGAGGGACATAGGTGACCTATTCGGAGCTTGGTTGCATACTTAGAAGCAGACGTTGGCTTTGGTTCCGTTTTAACCAGACTCTCGACTTGAGACGAAAGACGTGGATAATAAAGTGATCTCCGACAGAATTTGTGGCTCCAAAGTGAAGTTGATTCGTTTGCATACTAAACGGAGAGTCTTATCGGCCACCTACCCAACACACAAACCTGAGTGAGAATGGCGGCTGGCAAAGGGATTTTTCGTATGGAAGTCGACATACCTCAGCAAATATTTCTCGGAGAAGCTCCGTAGGTAGCGACAACAATCCGCTCGCGTTGTCCTCGATACGGCGCCGCTTGTCGCTATCTTCGGGCACCAAGGGGATGACTGCGAGCTGATGCCGATATGGTTTGTGGTGGTAGTACGTGCTTCTTGAAACTTGCCGACCACCATTGCAGTACCTTTTACAATCACAGAGGAATTTTTGGCCCATGAAAGGGAGAGGTGGCAGCGAAGAAGCGTTTTGAGTACTGTGAATCGATCGGAGTTTGGACTGACAACCAGCGGACCGCGGTCCGACATTCTGGAGGTGAGCGTTGGAAGACATCCTGTTGTAAAATACTATTGACGCGGTTGCAGCAATTCTGGACGTTCTATCTCCTCGAAACTTCGGTAATAACGCGCTGCGAGCGGCATACTATCTCTACTCAAAACCAAGGCTGCCCACATCATGTATCAGAGAATGTAGGTCCCTTCCTTTACACTATATCGAGTCGTTAATATGTATGCCATGATCTAGTGCAACCAATTTGACGAAACACTTGTACGTTATCCCCCTCAAATGGTGGCACAAGCAGGTGGCCTCGCTTTTTTAAGGTGGGTAACATGTCAGGACGGCAATCGCTTTCTCTCAGCCTGATCTCCTCTTGTCCCCGTCAGTGTCATACTATGTAGCGCATTGATGAGCTCAGAACATCGCGACCGTATTCTCAATTCTCCTGCTATCCCAGCCAAGGACTGGGGAATGCTTCACCGATTCTTCTGGTCTCACCACATCCATCTGAACTTCCTAGCCCTCCTCAAATCAACCCAACAACTACTTCGACTCTATTCGCAAGCTTTTGTAGTACACAACACCCTCTTTGCAGTGGCTTTTTCTCACCTCCTCGGATTTCAAAACCTTTTCTACGGGGTATCTCGACCCGTCTTCTGGGTACGCTGTGTTCGAATGCACCTTTCGTGCTGTCTGACACCGCTAATGTCAATGGTTAGATGGATATCGTGAAGGCGCAATGGCTAGGGCTGAGAAGAGTGGACGTTGGAGAGGACGGACCAGGTTCACGTCCTATATTTCCACCAGTCTTATCACCAGGCTCCTGATGCCACGATACGCAATTCCAACGTGTTCCGAAAATGAGGAAAAAGACAAATCGATTCCAGGTCTTTTTTTTCAATCCTGCCACCCCTTGGCTGCAAGCCGGACAGAAACCGCCAAACGGCGCCCGGACAAAACCCCATTTCCAGGATCAGACCGTTTGTGCCATTGACCTGGGTTTTCAAACACCTGGCGAACACGACTTGGACAAGTTGGAAACGTCTAAAGGAAATGGACGTTAGTCAACGGTCTCACTCGGCGGTAGCATTAAAAGGCTGATGGTTACGTAACAGACCTTTTGAAATCGACCAGCAAGGTGAAGTTCCTTCAAGTCCCACCTGAACGCGCATCTTCCTAACGAAACGGCAGGTTTACAAGACGACGATGATTTGCTACGGGTTTTAACAGTGCCCCTGGCCGAAACTAGTCTTAAATCCTTTTGGTTTACACATCACAGAGGCGGCGTTAATGTCAAACTGGGACCAACGCTCAAGCTACCGCAATTCCGTATGCACGAAAACGTGGTCCCCTTTGTCACGCCGCTGACGTCCGATCGAGCTACTTACATAGCACCGAAGAAAATCTTATCTTTACGTTTATGGATCCTACAATGAAATTCGAATCTCTATCACCGCCGCTTTGCCTGGAGATCTCTTATTCGAGGAGGGGTATAAATACCCAACCTTCCTTTCATGTCCGTCAAATAGGACATAAGGATGTCAGACCCACTTGCACTAACCGACATCGCTGAGGAGACGCCTTCTGGCTCGGTGTCCAGGGCGGCTTCTCATCCCACACTTTTTAACATCGATACCCCTTTATCACAACACGCTGAAGAGGACCATCAAGCTTCGAACGTGCATGGCAACCATCATACACAGTCTGACTACTCGCGGCCACCGCCCGTAACGCCAAAGTTGGGGCAACTGCGAGTCAGGAGCGGTTCCTCTGTATCTCGCGTCGATGTCGAGTTTTTTGATCCAGAAGGTGTTCAAGCCTTGCGAAGGACGATGACCAAGGAGACTCAGGAGCGCGGCTGGCCGTCTGCTGCACCTTCATCCACTAATCATGCCCTAACCGATGAGCCGTTCGATTTTGAACAGACCATTCGTCATGTCGTTCGAAGGTACGTGTCCAATTTCGTTCCTTCTAACACGAAGATCTTATCCTATGTAGACGAGAAGAAGCACTCATCGCGCAGCGATCCATTGGAGTCGCCTTTCAAAATCTCCGTGTGGTCGGACGTGGGGCTTCTGCGTCATATCAGCGAACCCTGGGATCTGCGCTTAACCCCTTGGGCGTTCTTGAGAATGTCCAAAATATCCGCCATCCCGCACTTCGTGATATCCTCGGTGGATTCGAGGGTGTAGTTCGACCGGGGGAGATGATTCGTGCGCTCGCGTTCTTGTCGATCTCGTGTTCATTCTAACATCTTACCCTTATCAGTCGTTTTGGGCCGGCCCGGATCCGGCTGCAGTACCCTGCTGAAGACACTCGCTAATCAACGTCAGGAGTTCTATGCAGTAGAAGGAGATGTTCACTACGACTCTTTGTCGCCCCAAGATATCCATGACCACTTCCGAGGCGATGTGCAATACTGTCCGGAAGACGATGTCCACTTCCCAACCCTCACCGTAGAGCAAACACTCAAGTTCGCAGTCACCACCCGTACTCCGCGATCTCGCGTCGACGCGTCCAGGGAGCAGTTCCAAGACGAAGTGGTGAAGGTCATCACTACCATCTTTGGGCTACGGCATACTTTAAACACTCCTGTCGGTGATGCTGCCATTCGGGGAGTGAGTGGCGGAGAGAAGAAGCGTGTGTCGATTGCTGAGGCTATGGCCACGAGGAGTTGTGTTGGGGCTTGGGATAAGTACGTCTTCATATCACATTACACGAGGAATTGTCAGTGATGTACGATTAGCTCTACTCGAGGCCTCGACTCCAGCAATGCTCTCGAGTTTGTCAAGGCGTTGCGCATCGCGACTGACGTCTTCCACACAACCACCATCGTTTCCATCTACCAGGCTGGAGAGTCGCTGTACAAGCACTTTGACAAGGTTTGCGTCATCTATGAGGGCCGCATGGCGTATTTTGGCGCTGCGGACAAGGCAAGGCAACATTTCATCGACATGGGGTAAGTCTCAGTCACCACCATCTGACTACCGTCCCCTCACACCTCTTTGTCTAGCTACGAACCTGCGAACAGGCAAACCACCGCCGATTTCCTCGTAGCAGTCACAGATCCTATCGGCCGGATTCTGCGAGCTGGGGTCATCTCCCAACCACGTACTGCAGCAGAGTTCGCAGAATACTTCCTCAAGTCTGAGGCGGGCAAAGAAAACCGTGCGGATTTAGACTCATATATCGAAGAGTTCGTCGGGAAGCCTCATGTGGCCTCTGCGTATATGACCAGTGCTCGTGCTGAGTTCGCCAAAGGAAGTGGGAAGAAGAACCCGTACATGTTGACTATCCCCCAGCAAGTTCGGGCTGTCATGAAGCGGAGGGTACAGATCATTCGAGGGAACCTCCTTGCTACTGGGCTTCAAGTTTTGTAAGTTCTTTTCTTGCTTCTTTACGCCTGCTTTAGATGCTGATTGTCTCACAGCTCTTTCATCTTCCAGTCTTTAATCATGGGCAGTGTCTTCCTCAAGATGCCCCAGAACACAGCCAACTTCTTTTCACGTGGCGGTATCCTCTTCTTGTGCGTCTTTCGTCATTCCGTCATGCTCGCAGCTTACTTATTCACCCAATTTTTTCACCAGTTCCTTGCTATTTTCCGCCTTGACAACTATGGCTGAGATCCCCGCTCTCTACTCTCAGCGCCCCATTGTCTTGAGGCACCAGAGGGCAGCGCTTTACCACCCCTTCATCGAAGCTCTGGCTCTTACTTTGGTCGACGTACCACTTACGTTCATTACCACCATCTTTTTCTCGATTATCTTATATTTCATGACTGGTCTTCAAAGAACGGCCTCTCAATTCTTGTATGTCACCTCCTCGATTCAAGTGGCATTGGTACTGATTGATGTTCATGTAGCATCTTCATATTGTTCTTGTTTACCATGTCTATTACTATGAAGGCCTATTTCAGAGCTATCGCTGCTGCCTTCAAATCAGAAGCAGCCGCTCAATCGGTCGCGGGTATTGCCATCCTTGCCCTTTCCATCTACACTGGTGAGTGCATCTCAATCCTATTGACGTCCGGTAGTTTTCATATTTCAGGCTTCACTATCCCCAAGCCCTCGATGATCGGCGCCTTGAGGTGGATAACATATATCAACGTAAGCTCCAAATCTGGCTGAAACAATGACTTGTCATTCACCCATAATCTTTTCTAGCCTCTCCGATACGGGTGAGAACTCTGCTTTGATTCGGTTACGAGCGAAAGTCAACAACATTACTTAGATTCGAGGCGATGATAACTAACGAATTCCGAACTCTCAAAGGAGAATGTTCCTCCCTCGTCCCTCGTGGTCCCGGTTACGAGAACATTACCCTCGCCAACCAAGTGTGCACAACTGTAGGATCCGTACCTGGGCAACCCTTCGTGGACGGTAACAGGTTCGCCGGCATCTCATACGGCTTTTTTTGGTCCAAGACCTGGATGGTGCGTTTCTTCTTATTCTGATCAAGCAAATTAAGGTTAATGTTCCTTTGTAGAACTTTGGCATAGTCATCGCTTTTGGAGTCGGTTTCCTGACGTTCCTGCTGCTTTTCACCGAGTTCAACACCGCTTCCGCTGTCGAGTCATCCGTCATGCTCTTCAAGCGTGGCACTGGCCCCAACGACGAAGAAGCCGTCAACGAGAAAAACTCTAGAGGGCTGATGGTTTCCGACGACGACGAGAAGCTTCAGAAAGAGGACACAGCCAGTGTTCCTGCCATGAACGACGTTTTCACGTGGCAACACGTTCGTTACACGGTTCCTATTGCTGGGCAGGGCGACAGGTTGTTGCTTTCCGACGTATCGGGCTATGTGGCCCCAGGAAAGCTCACGGCTTTGATGGGAGAGTCGGGCGCGGGAAAGACAACTCTGCTCAATGTGCTCGCCCAGCGCGTCTACACGGGGGTGGTTACGGGCGATAGGTTCGTTAATGGGCAAGCTCTTCCGGTTGACTTTCAATCTCAATCGTGAGTACTTGTCAGTCACTTCGTTAATCTTCGCATTTTGAATGAACGCGTTTCATCAGTGGGTACTGCCAGCAAATGGACACTCATGTACCGACTGCTACCGTCCGGGAAGCTCTCCTGTTTTCGGCTAAACTACGTCAACCGAAATCCGTTCCTTTGGCTGAGAAAGAGGCATAGTGAGTCTTTTGTATATAACGACGTATCTCTCAAAACTGATGTCGGCCAGTGTCGAGAAGTGCCTGAAGATGTGTGGGCTTGAGAAGTACGCAAACGCTTCTGTTGGATCTCTTGGAATCGAGCACCGGAAGCGAACTACTATTGCTGTTGAACTTGCAGCGAAGGTCAGCCTCCCACCAACAACTACTATGTGCTTTAACTGACGCCTACCATGATTAGCCGAAACTTTTGTTGTTCCTTGACGAACCTACCTCAGGTCTTGACTCACAAAGTGCTTGGGCAATCATGTCATTCCTGAGGAGTCTCGCAGATAACGGTCAGGCCATTCTTTGCACGTATGTCCTTGCCGTTTTAGGTCATGTTCTTCCCTGACTTTTCTCTTGTCTTCCAGAATACATCAGCCGTCAGCGGAGTTGTTCCAAGTATGATTCCGTCTGCTCTCATTCCACACAATATTTAAGGCTATCATTGTAAGGTTTTCGACAGGTTGCTACTTCTTCAAAAGGGTGGTCGTACTGCCTACTTCGGTGACCTTGGTCGAAACGCTGCCACCTTGATTGACTACTTTGAGAAGAATGGGGCACGGCCTTGTCTTGACGACGAAAATCCGTGAGTTTTTAATTATTTGGCCAAGAAACGCTCAGCTAAGTTTGCCCATGATGTAGTGCGGAGTACATGCTGGACGTCATCGGAGCTGGTGCAACTGCTACAAGCAAACGAGATTGGTATCAACTCTGGCAATCATCTCAGGAGTCAACGGAGACTCAGCGGGAAATCGAAGCTATCCACGCTGAAGGTCGTAACCGACCTGCAATTGCCGCATCCATCCATACCGAATTCGCCACCCCTTGGGCATACCAAGTGGTCGAACTCCTCAAGCGTGACGCGGAAGCGCACTGGAGAGATCCGACGTACCTCATGGCGAAGCTCATCCTGAACATTGTTGGCGGTCTTTTCATCGGGTTCACGTTCTTCAAGGCCAAGCATAGCATCCAAGGCGCGCAAAACAAGCTCTTCGCGATCTTCATGGCAACGATCCTCAGGTAAGGGACCTTTTTCTCTCTGTAGAACTTACAGTTAATTCCTTATCCAGTGTCCCCCTCTCGAACCAAATACAAGTTCCTTTCATTCAAATGAGAACCGTGTATGAGATTCGTGAACGTCCCAGTAGGATGTACAGCTGGACTGCGCTCGTTACTTCGCAGGTCCTCGTTGAACTCCCTTGGAACATTCTAGGAGCCACTCTGTTGTTCTTGACGTGGTTCTGGACTGTGGGTTTCGAGTCCTCACGAGGCGGGTATACTTATCTGATGCTGGGAATCGCGTTCCCGCTTTATTACACTACGATTGCGCAAGTAAGTTGCCCAACGCCTCACAATGCTCACACAACTAACCTCATTACCCACAGGCCGTCGCAGCAATGGCACCAAGTGCGGAAATTGCTGCCCTCCTATTCTCGTTCTTGTTCTCCTTTGTCATTACCTTGTGAGTATCTTTATGCATAATAATCGATCTGTCTGAGTGCTAACGTGGCAATTTAGTAACGGCGTATTGCAACCATTTGCGCAACTCGGCTGGTGGCGCTGGATGTGAGTTGTGTGCCCGTTGTTCCTTTCACCAAGGCTGATAAGCGTGTTTGTAGGTATCGCCTGTCACCATATACCTATCTGATCGAAGGCCTTCTTGGTCAAGGTTCGTTATCGTCTATCTCTCTCTACTTAGAAACCATCCCTCATCGATATCGCAGCTATTGGTGGCCAACAAGTATCCTGCTCACCCGTAGAATTCGTGACAATCACCCCACCTAGCGGGATGACCTGCGGCGAATACATGAACCCATTCATTTCGTTTGCAGGTGGCTACCTCACCAACGCAGATGCCACCTCCGCCTGTCAGTTCTGCAGCATCCGCACGACGGACCAGTTCCTCAATGCCGCATTCAATATCTTTTATAACCACCATTGGCGAAATTTTGGCTTCATGATGGCGTTCTTTGTGTTCAATGTACGTTCTATTCTTTTACGTTGCTTACGATGAAAGCTGACGAGGGATGACAGTTCTCTTGTATCTACCTTCTCACATATATCTTCCGGATTCGCGAGGGCAGCATTTTACCCTCGTTTAAGAGGCGTGCTGCCAAGAAGTAATGTATCCATTGACATCTAGATAAACGGGCACTTGTCCCTTAATCGTTTTGCAGACTTTATCATAGATGAAATCGTCAATCGTATCAATAGTCGCATAGATTCAGAAAGAAAAGTTATACAATATGTAGCAAAAAGACTAAATCTCCCCAATCTTGGACATGACATGTGATATCTCTTCTTCCCAGGAAACAACAGGCGACCCAAGTGTATCTCCCCCAGAGGTGAACAGGGATCCTCAGTCAGAGACCTAGATTCCGTAGCAGAAACTCCTTTGGTCGTCTGCTCCTCCCATATGCATGAGCCCGTAGTGTAGATCCCAGGAACTTGTGAGTCCCCATCTCTGGAAGTGAATAACGAATCCGATTCTTCACTCCCACTCAAACCCGTGCCAGTCGAATCTCCGGCTTGCCTTTCAACAGAAAAGATCCTTCGCGTAGGTCCCAACGCGGCTGCCGAGTCGCTCTCACACACTACAGCTTGGGAGGGAGTGGGAAGGAATGGCGCCGGGGGGTGGATGCTATTGGTTGATACGGAGCGAGGAGCGGAGCAAGGGCGGACGATGGTTCCAGGATCCAGACCCAGCCCAGCGCCAGGCAGGAGCGGCACCTTCGTGGGCGGGTTTAAGGAAGGGGGCAAGGCGTAACTGGGCGGAGCAGCCGGACGGGGAGGGGACATGGTGGGGACTAGGAAATTTTGTTGACCTGGAACGTGCATGGGGATGCTGTACTTCGACGAGGACTTGTTTGGTGGCAACGATAGTGCGTATTGTGGAGTAGGCGATTTGGGTTGGGATGTGTATGCTTGTGGAAGTTGCGCTAGTTTGGTGTTGTCGCCCACAGTGCGGTAAGCGGAACTCGGTGCGAAGAGACGAAAGAAGGAGAAGATGGCGGTTGTGGCGTTGTTCCCCTCAGTGTCGATAAATCGGCCATTAGAACCGCGCATCCAATGGACGAGGGAGCGCCGTTCGCGACCTAAGAGGATCGGCCTTGCGATACTTTTTAAGATGACGAACACTGTTCAGTAACAGAAATCTTCTGGCAATAAAGATATTTGAAACCCTGATAGTTGCTTGATTCGAGAAAGGGGAAATTCCCAGCCGTCAGGAGCTGGGAATTATCACTTCATGACACTAAATCATCGGACGATCGTCGCCAACATTCTTTTGTATGTTCTCTCGTACGGGAATCCCCTCGTTCGACGAGGGTTGTTCACTAGACGCAGCGCACCGACCTACATCTGTTGAGTTCGACCCATAAGTAATGTAGAAATGAGGAAGCGGTGGACCAGCTTGAAAATCGTCGCACCAATGTTTTCAAGAACCTTTGACGCAAGCTCCGTCTACTTTTCCTGGCTGTTAAGTAAAGCGACCACCTTGTTTCTCGGAGTCCTTGTTCAGAACAACGTTCTCCATTCTTCCTGTAAAGTTGGCCATCGATGTCCAAGAAAACCTCCTGTGGCCAATATGCAGGATCCTCGGGGCATTAATAAGTATGATTCGAGCACTTACCTCTAGGTATATATATTGTTGGGAGTAAGTTGGGAGCAAGTGGGAGATAATGCTTGACAAGTCAGATGAGGTCAGATGATCAGAAGACGCCATCACGTGAAACATTCGCGTCGCATTTGCTTTTTAAGTAGGTGAAGGTCTCCTGTTGCACTCTACTCTACAATTCATAACTTACAGATCGTGGTTACAGACCAGAGATGCACCTGCCTCAACGCTTGGTCGACTCCCGACATCCGAACCATCGCAAACTCACAAAGCTTCTTTACCAAGTTCTCCCTTCACGACAACAGCATCATGGATCAGTCTTCTTCTTCAATTTGTGCGATGGGTCGGTACCCTAGGTCTGCACCAAAATCGTCACGCAGTACCGCATATCATTATTCTGTCCAAGGCGCGCAAACATGGAACGCGTGATTGCGGGTGGGCCCATAACTTTCCACATTCTGTTTGATCCATCCCCTCATCCTCGCACGATGCATACTAGCCCCGCTCCCACACTTGGATCCTCGACTGTGTTGAGGAGAGGTGCCTCGTATCCTTAGACTTTTCAAAATGGGTAGAGTTGCGCATATGTCCAAAAGCGACCACTGAATTTTACGTTTGAAATGGTATGACTGGTTTTGAATAGAAAGACGTACGATTGCATTTTCTTTGGTAGGGGATTGACTCTTCGCATAAGCGTGGACCTTTTCTTCTCCCCTCGGAATGTCCTCAGAGTTTATAGATAATTCAAGAAGGGAAAGGCGTGTGGCTTTTTTGATTATGTTGGAACAATGTTTTCCAAAACACCACATTCCTTCATAACTTGAATGAACTTCAAGAGCCTCCAGAAAGGAAATATGATTCTCGAGACCTTGTTCGTAAAAGTGGATCGCAAGTTGATTGGAAACCTGTGTCGCAAGTTGATTGGACACCTGTTGAGGTGTGTGATACGATGATGTCCGAGTAAGCCTGAGACGCCGAAGACCAGAAAATGATGTTAAGTATTCGACCAAGGCAGGCTGGGCGTTGTCCGTGACAAGTTCTTGTAGGTGAATTTTCTCTGATCGCAAAGTTGACCAAATTTTTTGTGCCAAAAATTCAGGACCCTGATATTCTGTAGTTTCATCATAGGGCGAGGAGATGTTCATTATGGTGAGCGAGATCAACGATCTCAAATGGCGAAGTGCGCCAGCGTCGAATTTCACAAATAGGCCGCTCAAATTGAGATGTGTAATTTTCAAGCAAACTGAACTAGATGTCTCCGCGAGAAAGTCTTGGAGAGTTGGCGCGTACCCATCGGAGTAGTAGCCATCATCAACAATTGTGATATTCGTCAACTCCGGCTGGTTCCATCCAATCAGTCCTGCGACGGTGCGGATAACTGCGGTGCGATTATTGAAGTCAGAGATAACGGTGAATTTTTTGAGGTTGGACAGCCGCTGGAATTGCACACAGGGAGAATCTGGAGCCAACCAAACACTCAAATGAAGATCCTCCAGAGCCGGGAGTGATGCAAGGGCATCTGTGACTAGAAGAGTTGCCCACTCTGGGTCGTATTCACCCAGATCCCATCTAGTAGAGGAAGGAGTTAATATATTCTCTGAATCCTGGGACTTAACTCACATTATTTGACGAACCCCAACAAGGGAACTGATAGCGGGCAGAAGGAACAACCTAATCTTGGCTTCTTCAAAAGATATAACTCCGTCTTCGTCTGGAGATGGACATAGGTGACCTATATGGAGCTTGGTTGCATATTTAGAAGCAGACGTTGGCTTTGGTTCCGTTGTAACCAGACTCTCGACTTGAGACGAAAGACGTCTGGAGGATAAAGTGATGTTCGACAGAATTTCTGGCTCCACAGCGAAGTTGATTCGTTTGCATACTAAACGGAGAGTCTTGCAATTGTCAACCACCTGCCCAACAAACCTGAGTGAGAACGGCGGCTGGAAAACGGAATGTCGTAGAACTGGAAGCCAACATACCTCAGCACATATTTCTCGGAGAAGCTCCGTAGGCAGCGACAACAACCCGCTCATAGATAACTCAAGGTGCCGAGTTGTGTGAGTTTGCCAGTTTATCGATGGTGTGGATCAATTCCAATCAGGTCTCCGCTCGGAATTGACAAGTCAGATGATCAGAAGGCGCCATCACGTGAAACATACGCGTTGCTGAGCACTGAATGAAGCCATAGACTGAGTCAAGGCGTTCAATTCCGCGATTCGACGTTGGATGCTCAAACGCATGGTTAACGTGACGTAGCTGGACCAAGTAGAACGAATGTAGGGTTTCAGTTTATAATTTTGACGTGTCTTTAGAGGGTTAAGCACTAGCTACCTTCGGCGTTCCCAAAACAATTGGTGAGCAAGGCCGCCATAATCCCAACATGATCCTCGGCTCTCGTCTTTATCTCGGCATGTCGGCTGAACTGTATTAGCGAGCCCTTTACGGAAAGTTCAGTGAAGAACGCGTCTCAAGAGGAGCAGGAGTAGCACAGTTCACGGGAGATATTGTAAGAATAGCCCTGTACGAACGTTGTATGCTGGTCTCGTCGCTTGAGTAGAAGTTACGTACCACTTTGATAGTGCTATGGGACCAGATATGAGATGGCAGTCGACTCATCGCCCCTGGTGCCAGCCTATACGCGTCTATATGTTAGTCCACTGCAGGATGAGCGTGTCGGAAGCCAACTGCGCATTTGTCGTGACAAATCCAGCTTAAGCCATGACACAAAGCGGGCTAACGACACCGCGAAACTTGTGGAAATAATCAGGGAGGCTCAGGGGAAGCTCGTCAATGGGAAGCAGTGGGGGCCGGCGGAGTCAATGGTTATCAAAATGGACCTTCGGTCCCCGCTTGATTGCCCGGCAAAGACGTTTAAGTACTCAAAGCGCCGTCTGTTAAAAGGCCTCAAAAATTTCAGAGGCAGATAAGTCGGCGCTGAGATTGTTGAGCTGAGAACAGGTTGCGAGCAAGTTGTGAGGAAGGAATCCAAAAGGAATCGATGAGCAGAATAGAAGTGGTTTATTTATTTCGGATGATAATGCCAAGCAAAGGTTCCGAAGTTTATCCCAAATTACCGCGCTCGCCTTCAGCTTCAACTCCAAATGATACGGTCTCAGGGAAGTCTAAAAAATGTTCATGGCTTCTACGAATAAAAGGGCCGCACTAGCGTTGTGCCAATGTCTCTACCGTCGCACCAACCACTCTATCAATGTCAACGCAAGCTCATCCATTGAGTGAGGTCCCGATTCTGGGGTCTTCACAAAGTGCTGTCATTCTAGCACTCGCCATTAGTGTCGTAATCACGCTCGCTATTCGTCTCTCGCCCTCTTCTTCCAAGGGAGGTGTTTACGATCTGGGTGGCATTCCAATCCTCGCCGCGTGGCCGTTCTTTACGAAGCGGTACGATTTTCTTCGGAATCACTTTGCCTCTGGAAAGAGATATTTCCAGTTCCATGTTCTCCAAGTCAGTATACTGTGTAATATGTGCTTCTCACTGACCTTTTTTTTTTTACAGCACCGGGTCGTTGCAATTTCTGGCGAGGAGGCACGAAAGATGTTCTTCAATGAAAAGGGCCTTGGCCTCGATGAAGGCTATCGAATTTTGATGGGTGGAGCTCCCAATATTGACGATATTAGCGTTCAGCCCAAGGAAGGCCGGGTGAAAGACGCCGAGCTTGTCAAGCGAATGGCGGTGCTCTTTCGGAAGGACCGAGTCGTAGAAGGTACGGATCGTACAGACCGGCGGATGATGCGACTAACTTTTCTTCATCCAGTGCTACCAGTACTCTTCGACGATGTTCATCGTAGAATGAATGATTGGGGCAATGAGGGCACCATCAACCCTTTCAAGGAATTGTATGACGTAAATCCAACTTTCATTCTGACCTTCGTGGAGAAATTCATGCCTTTCCGCGTAGCTTGTCTTTCAAATGACCGTCCGGATGGGGGCTTGTCGAGAATTGGCAGACGACAAGGACGCCATCGAGCGCCTCACACAGCATTACTGGAATATTGAGAAGAACGCTACACCTACGGTTCTATTGCTTCCATGGCTGCCCAGTCCCGCGAAGAAAACTCAGGAAAAAGCGACAAGGGAACTCTTCACAATGTTATACAACTATGTCTATCTCCGACGCAATGCACCAACTCCGTCTACCGACCCGATTGACCTTCTTGTTGCATATGGTGATTCCAATGAAGCAATTGTCAGCGTGAGTCCTGCCATTTCTGTACCGTGCAATACAAGTTGTTAATCTAAACCAGGTTGTTATGAGCATTATATTCGCAGGCGTGATCAACACGGGTGCTGGTTGTAAGTACCGAGACGTCAACGGCCAACACCTTTATTAACCAATACCCCTAGCCTGTTGGATTCTGCTCCACCTTGCCTCCCATCCTCAATGGAAAGATAAGGTAATCAACGAACTGAAAGCCCTTGTTGCAAACCACACGAACGGGACATCCAAAGAACCGCTGCATAAGCAACTCGCGGCGATCCCCTTACACGCATGGGAGGAGGAATTACCCGCACTTGAACTTGTCATTCGCGAGACTGTCCGGCTTACTATGTCTATGACTTCTCTGCGGCGGAATCTGGGGAAAGATATCCCTTTAGCCGATACTATTATCAAAAAAGGCGACTTTCTCGCTTATTGTAATGGTGACGCCCACATGAACCCCAACATCTACACCGACCCTGAAAAGTTTGATCCTGAGAGATACAGCGAGGGAAGAGAAGAGGATCGGAAAGAAACGTTCGCCTATTTGGCGTGGGGTGTTGGTATGTCCATTCATGTCCAAATCTTTTCCCATCTAATTGACGATACATCAGGTCGTCACCCCTGCGTTGGTGTCAGAATTGCGAAAATGGAGATGAAGCTGCTCACTGCCTTGATTCTCCTCGGGTATGAATACGAATTGGTGGATGGAGCTGGCAACCGTCTTGAGAAGGTGCCGCTGCAAGATCGTAATGATATCCAACAGGTACGAAGGGCTGTCTACTCTTGTTTGTATACTCCTCATATGTCGCACAGGCCAGGCCGCTCAGTCCCTGTTACCTAAAATTCAAGCGGGTAATGGAATAAACTATTGGGTCGAGAAGACTTGCTCCAAGTCGCGGTTGAGAACACATCGTCGTTCTCAGAGAACAAAGCTTGCGACTCCCCGAACGTATGCGAATTGAAGAGCGGTAGAGACCATGGTTTAAAAGAGAGAGAAGCAATCGCAAAGTATGACAATGACATTAGTTAAATTAGTAAAGACAAGGAAAAAACAAGCTAACAGGAGAGCTAATTCGCTAATTGAGTCCATATCTCTGTAACGTAGTACCCTCCTGAATATCCGCTGCCCTTTAAGGCGTAGTGGTCCAGATCTGGTTGGGATTTCCATTGAAGCATCGGAAGATTTGCAGTTGATTTCCGTTGAAGGTCTGTCCATCGGGGAGATCAACGCATTGAGGGTCTAACGGGTGTTAAGTTTGTGAAATAACAAGTTGAAACGAAGAGGACATACGCCTTCTAGACTCTGTCGCTTTGAGCCTGATCTGATTCTGGTTCGTGAAGTCCCATATTTGAGCTGGGATAGAATCAATGCAATGCCAGATCTTCAACCTCTCGCCATTGTGGAATTGACTCGCTAGAACCCATATTCAGGTTAGCTTTCAAGGGCAATTGAAGTCGTAAGCGATAGCAACTTACGCAAGCCGGCATCCAAGCAGAAGTTCGTGCCTGTCAGCTGAACCCTCGTCGTGCCTCTGAAGATATTCCATCGTTGAGCTGAACTGCCGTTGCAGTCGAATCTAAACCGAAGAAGTCAAGCTCAGAAATGGTGAAGAGGTGAGAAAACGTACATCTGAACCGGAGTTCCATTCCGCCGTCTGTTACCCGCGACGTCCATACACTTCCTATTATTGAAGTTCGGATGGATTTGTACACCAGTAGGAGTAGGGGTGGCGGTGATAGTAACCGTGACCGTAACCGGCAGAGAAGTGTTGGTGGTAGTGGCTGTGGTTGTACTGGTAGTAGAAGTGGTTTGACCAGATGTGACCGTTGTTGTAATCGTTGTAGTCCTACGCTTAGTGGTTGTGATTGGTATGGTGGATGTCGTGGTGGTAGTAACCGTGACTGGGCCTGTCGTAGGGGTAGTTGTGGGTGTCGTGGTGGTGGTACTCGTTGTCGTGACCGGTATCCCAGAGGTGACGGTCTGAGTTTCCGTAACCGTGACCGTAGTCTGAGTTTTGACTGTAGTGGGGATTGTAGTCGACTGCGTGACGGTGATCGTAACCGGCCCTGTGGTAGGAGTTGTGGTGGTAACTGGAGTCGAGGTACTGGTAGTCGTGATACTGACTCCAGAAGTAAAGGTTTGGGTCGTTGTCACCGTGACGGTCTTGCGCGTAGTGGTTGTACTTGGGACTGTGGACGTAGACGTAACGGTAACGGTAATTGGGCCAGTAGTCGGAGTCGTAGTGGTACTAGGAGTAGTGGTGGTCGTGACACTTATTCCGGAGGTGACGGTTTGGATTGAGGTGACTGTTACAGTAGTACGGCGGGCCGTGGTCGTAGTGGGGATTGTGGTCGTGGCTGTAACGGTAACAGTGATCGGACCAGTAGTCGGAGTCGTAGTGGTACTTGGAGTCGTAGTAGTTGTAACGCTTATTCCAGAGGTGACAGTTTGAGTCGACGTCACTGTGGTAGTGGTTCTGGAAGTGGTAGTGGTGGTGGTCTGGCTAGTGGTGGGGATTGTGGTCGTGGCTGTAACAGTAACAGTAATCGGACCAGTAGTGGGAGTCGTAGTGGTACTCGGAGTCGTAGTAGTTGTAACGCTTATTCCAGAAGTGACAGTTCGAGTGGACGTCACTGTAGTAGTGGTTCTGGACGTGGTAGTGGTGGTGGTCTGGCTAGTAGTGGGGATTGTGGTCGTGGCTGTGACGGTAACAGTAATTGGACCAGTAGTCGGAGTTGTGGTGGTACTTGGAGTCGTAGTGGTTGTGACGCTTATTCCAGAAGTGACAGTTTGAGTCGACGTCACTGTCGTAGTGGTCCGGGTGGTGGTCTGGCTAGTCGTGGTAGTACTCGAAGTGGTTGTCGTAGTTGATGGAGATGTGGTTGTGGATGACGACGTTTTAGATGAAGAAGAGGTTGAGGAAGAGGTTGAGGACGACGAGGATGTGGAGGTGGAGCTGGTAGATGATGTCGAGGAGGATTTGGAGGTTGAACTAGTTGAACTGGTAGATGATGTGGAGCTGGTCGAGCTGGTGGATGACGTGGAGGAGGACTTGGACGTTGAACTAGTTGAGCTGGTAGATGATGTCGAGGAGGATGTGGAGGTTGAACTAGTTGAGCTGGTGGATGACGTCGAGGAGGATTTGGAGGTTGAGCTAGTTGAGCTGGTAGACGACGTCGAGGATGATTTGGAGGTTGAGCTGGTGGATGACGTCGTGGAAGACGAGCTTTTAGAGGTTGAGCTGGACGAGGTAGTGGATGACGGTGTAGACGAGGTGCTGGAAGTGGTCGATGAGGTCGTCGGCGGTTTAGAGGAGGAGGAAGACGAGGAGGAAGACGACGAGGTGGGAGTGACAGCAGTCGTCGACGTTGTGGCCGCAGGGCCCTGGGGGGCAGCGAGAATTGGGGCCACAGCCAAAAGGCAAAGGAGGAGCGACTTCGCCAGCATGACGGTAAATCCTGGGGAGCGAGAAGAATGGCACAATCCTCTCTTTTTTATCTGGGAATTGAGTGCCAAGCTTTGACTGCCGCGAGACAGTTCGGAGGAGAAAAGAAGGCTAATTCGAAAAAAGGAGATTATATGTATGTTCGCTCGTGGATAGAGAACGCACTTACTATCTGTTTCCGAGACTGACATTGGGCTCCTCATGATAGAGCGACGTGCTTGGTGCTCTGCCCACCATGCACACCTTGCCCGCACCTTTCTTTCGAAGCTGTGTCTATTCCAAGATGATTCAGAGGCGTTAGGAGCGGCGTCGACCCAATATTCTCCTATGGAAGCGTATACAGCCCCTGAATCCTCAGCAGAGACGGCTCGAGTCACATTCAATCTTTTGAATACGGCTTGAAGAGCCGCCGTATTAATACGGTCTTCTCAAGCCGTATTCAGTCCGTTGTGGTAGACCCCAGAGCGTCCGATCGAGTCCACATAGAAGCGGCGGGTGTGACGACATTGATTTCGCTTGGCATTAGAGGGAGGGGCCTTGTATTTTTGGTTCAACCCCGCCTCGTACACTTGTCAATATCAAAACTAATGGATAGAGTCGGGGAAGCATAGCCTCCCAGTTTGATCCCTGCTACGGACGCCGTTCAAAGTTGAATCGCCCAACTTGACATTTTTTGGACGTACCGATTGGTTCCTTTGACTACACGCTTTTCAGCATGATGTGAAAGGTTACTAGTAAGCCAACAAGGACATTGCACGCGCGCCGCATTGGAGAGGGACAAGTTTGTTCGAACACTTGTGAATCTCGCAGCCATCTAGAGAAGCAACGCTTTCGTCCAATCTCTCCGATGATGCTGTAAACCTTAAGTTGCTCATTTTGAAGTTCTATCCAAGGCTTTGTCCAATCTCTGCGATGGCACCGTAAAGCTGAAGTCGCTCGTTTTGAAGTTCAAAAGTACTTACCCGCATGTTGGATTAGCTCTCCAAAACCCTCTTCTCGTCGCACGAGAGACTCCACGATTCACACAAGGCCTGGTTTAACCACTTGTCCACGTCAAAGCCCCGCACTCGCCAATCGGGAAACAGAAACTTCCCCGCCTAACCATTGCTGAGGGTAAGCAAGTAGTACAGTAAGAATTAACTCGCCCAACTTGGCGGTCGAAAGTACTTACCTGAGCTTGGTTCGAAAAGATTCTTCAGTCTGCAAACTTCAAGGCGCACGATGTGCAGGCAAATAGGCTACGAGGACCGTATAAGGCTGAAAGGAAGTGATCACCGTCGGCGTACATGACACAAAACGTTTGCCACAGGCTCGAGCTCATGACTGTTCTCGAACAAAAGCTGTAAACCTGAAGTCGCTCATTTTTAAGTTCCATCCAAGGCTTTCGTCCAATCTCTGCCATGGCACCGTAAAGCTGAAGTCACTCGTTTTGAAGTTCAAAAGTACTTACCCGCATGTTGGACTTCTCCGGGACCCTCTTCAACTCGTCGCACGAGAGACTCCACTTGGACTCCACGATTCACATAAGGCTTGGTTCAACCACTTGTCCACGTCGGAGTCCCGCACTCGCCAGTCAGAGAAAACCTCCCTTGCTGAGGGTAAAGTAGTACAGCAAAATTAACTCGCCCAACTTGGAGTTCGAAAGTGCTTACTAAGCTGAGGTTGGTTCGAAAAGGTTTTTCAGTCTGCAAACGTCAAGGCGCACGATGTGCAGGCAAATACACTACGAGAACTATGTAAGGCTGAAAGGAACTGATCACCGTCAGCGTACATGACACGAAATTTTTGCCACAGGCTCGAGCTCATCACTGTTCTCGAACAAAAAAGCCTTGTACCCCAGATACTTCCTTTTTTGGAACAGCTGCAACGTGCTTGATACTTAGAAGGCAAAACAAGATAACAGGAGAGCTAATTCGCTAATTGAGTCCATATCTCTGTAACGAAGTACCCTCCTAGATATCCGCTGCCCTTTAAGACGTAGTAGTGTTGGTAATGGTCCAGATCTCGTTCGGAATTCCGACATTGAGGCATTGGTAGGTTTGCAGTTGAGTTTTGTTGAAGGGCCAATCAACGCATTGAGGGTCTGACGGGTGTTAAATTTCTGAATGAACACAAATTGAAACGAAGAGGACATACTCCCTCCTGCCTCTGTCGCTTTTAGCATGATCTGATTCTGGTTCGTATAATCCCATAGTTGAGCTGGGATAGAGTCGATGCACCGCCGGATATTCAACTGGTCGCCATTGACGAAGACGTTCGCTAGAACCCATGCAACATTAGCTTACAAGGGCAAAATGGAAGTTGTAAACGAGGGAACTTACACATGCCAGCATTCAAGCAGAAGTTCGTGCCTGCAAGTTGAACCCTCGTGACGCCTCTAGCGATAATCCATCGTTGAGATGAACTGCCATTGCAGTCGGATCTAAACCAAGAAAGTAAATCAAAATCACGAAGAGAAGTCCGAGGCAAAAAAACGTACATCTGAACCGGAGTTCCATTCTGCCGGATGTTACCCGCAACGTCCATACACTTATTGCTGAAGTTGTTATGGATTTGGAAACCAGTAGGAGTAGGGGTGGCCGTTATAATATGCGTAGTGGATGTATTTCGGACTGTGGTCGTAGACGTGACGGTAACAGTGATTGGGCCAGTAGTCGGAGTCGTAGCAGTGCTGGGAGTAGTAGTGGTCGTGACACTTATTCCGGAGGTGACGGTTCGGATTGAGGTCACTGTGGTAGTGCGGCGGGCCGTGGTAGTAATGGGGATTGTGGTCGTGGCTGTAACGGTGACAGTGATCGGACCAGTAGTCGGAGTCGTAGTGGTACTTGAAGTCGTAGTGGTTGTGACGCTTATTCCAGAAGTGACAGTTCGAGTCGATGTCACTGTGGTAGTGGTCCTAGTAGTGGTCTTGCTAGTCGTGGTAGTACTCGAGGTGGTTGACGTAGTTGAGGGAGATGTGGTTGTGGGTGACGATGTTTTAGATGAAGAAGAGGTTGAGGACGACGAGATTTTGGAGGTGGAGCTGGTAGATGATGTCGAGGAGGATTTAGAGGTCGAGCTGGTTGAACTGGTGGATGACGTCGTGGATGACGAGCTTTTAAATGTTGAACTGGATGAGCTAGTGGATGACGGTGTCGACGAGGTGCTGACAGTGGTCGATGAGGTGGTCAGCGGTTTGGAGGAGGAAGTCGACGAGGAGGAAGACGACGAGGTGTGAGTGACAGAAGTCGTCGACGTTGTGGCCGCAGGCCCCTGGGGGGCAGCGAGAATCGGGGAAGCAGCCAAAATGCAAAGGAGAAGCGACTTCGCCAGCATGACGGTAAATCCTTGGCAGCGAGAAGAATGGCAGCATTCTGTCTTTTTGTGCCAAGCTTTGACTGCCGCGAGACAGTTCGGATGAAAAAGGAGGCTAATTCGAAAAAAAGAGATTATGTGTATGTTCGCTCGTGGATAGAGAACGTACTCACTATCTGTTTCCGAGACTGACATTGGGCTCCTCACCATAGAGCGACGTGCTTGGTGCTCTGCCTACCATGCGCACCTTTCTTTCGAAGCTGTGTCTATTCCAAGATGATTCAGAGCGTTAGGAGCGGTGTCGACCCAATATTCTCCTATGGAGGCGTATACAGCCCCTACATCCTCAGCGAAGTGCGACAATGCCTATAGGAAACGGCTCGAGTTATATAGCCGTTGTGGTCGACCCCACAGCGAGTCCACCAGAAGCGCACGACATTGATTTCGCTTGGCATTGTATCTTTGGTTCAACCCCGCCTCGTACACTTGCTAATATCAGAGAATGGATAGAGAAGAAGAACATCCCCGCCTAACCATTGCTGCGGGTAAGCAAGCATTACCGTAAGAATTAACTCGCCACAACTTGGAATTCGAAAGTACTTACCTGAGCCTGAGGTTGGTTCGATAAGGTTCTTCAAGCGGCCTGCAACTTTCAAGGCGCACGATGTGCAGGCAAATACGATACGAGGAACGTATAAGGCTGAAAGGAGATCATCGTCCCGCGCATGCCATGAACTTTGCAAGGAGTTTGAGCACCTCTAGCTCATGGCTGTTCTCGCAAAAGTGCTTACCTGAGATTGGTTCGATAAGCGGCCTGCAAACTTCAAGCTTCAAGGCGAACGATGTGCAGACAAATACGCTGCAAGAAACGTGTAAGGCTGAAAGGCGTCGGTGCACATGACACGAAAATCCTTGCGAGGAGTCCCAACACAGGCTCAAGCTCATGGCTGTTCTCGAACAATGTGCAACCCAGATACTTCCTTTTTTAGAACCTCTCCAAATTCCTTCAACGTAGTACTCGATAGCAGAACATCAATTAAACATTGAAGAAAAACATGCGTTGCGTGAAGTGGTTGGTATGCGTGAGGAGAAGGGGGAGGAGGAGCAAAAAATATCTGGATCAACTGCGATGAGTCGGATGGGGGGAGCAAATGTCAACTACTTCAACCACTGGGAATAATACACTAGCTGCGATCGAGAGCAATAAAATGAAGGGGGAAAAGGGAAGCTGGGGATGGATGGGTAGGTATCTGACATAAGCTGAAGCCTGCGCTTGCACCCATGGAATAAATAGAAAACCGAGAATAAAAACTTGACTCGAACTTGACTCTGAGGACTTGAACTTGAGCCTGAACGCACGACCACCTGAATGGAAGAGCCTCCAGCACCTTGGCCGCCAACGACCTAACATCGTCATCGGACATCTCCACCCATCTCAACGGAGGGAAACCTTGGAAGACTTGGTGCCCATCTCCACCTCCGCATTGTTGACGAGCGCCTCTCCCATCGCCTCACTCTCTTCAATCGCCCCCCCACTAGCACTGGCCGTCCTTATGCTCACCAAAACCTCCTTGCAATACTTCAGCTTATCAACCAAGCGCTGTACAAACTTCGCTTGCTCCGGGTCCTGGTTCGACGGAGGAGAAAGGGATTGTGCAATGATCTCGCTCAACGTCCACCGCGTCATCTTGTAGTGCTTGTCAATATGGGTGACCAAGAGTCCATGGGAGGAGAGGATGAGCTTGGAGTGGTCGTAGAAGTTGAACTGCGCCTCATCAATATCCAAAACTCAGAAAGAAGAAGGGGGGGAACAAACAAACCTGGAGAACCTCATGGCTCAGCTTGAACACGATAACATGCTTCATCCTCAAATACTTCTGCACCCACTCCATCCCCTTCTGCCTGCCCACATCCTCAAAGGTATACTCGTACTCGCCGTACAGCCTATCCATGATATACCGCTCAAAGTGTTTCAGCAGGTACACCTTGCTCTTCAGCTCGTCCGGGTACGTGTCCACCGTGTAGGACTTGCGCACGAATATCGTTCCGTGTCGCCTGGAGGTGACGTAGTCGAAGTGTCTGCAGAAACCGCATCATCAATATCTGGAACCAACCAACAAGGACGAAGACGTACACTTTATCGGGGCTCAACACCAAACTGGTACTATCGTTGAAATGGACTCCGACGCTCCCGTCCGTCAGTGCGTATCCCATGCCATACTTATTGCAGTAGTCCACCCAACTGACGATGAACACCTTCTCTTCAGGAAGGGGCAGGTGCGCATCTGGGGTGCGGAATACTTTCCCTGCAGCTTTGGCGTCAAAGGCAATGGAGAGGATGTGGGCAGCTGCGTCGAATCCATTTGGTTTGGGGGGTGGAAGGGCTGCAGTCGGAGGGGCTATCAGCGAGTCAGCAAGGGGAAAGAAGAAGTAGGGCTGAGAAGCACCGACCTGTCGTCACCGGGAGGTTCTCCTTCTCCCTCCCAACACCAACCCTAACACGGTCCTCTTTCCTCACAACATCCTTCCTCTGCATACTCGGTCCAGACGCCACAGACGGAGGAGGAACGTTCTCTCTCCCCATAGCACCCACATGCCTTTCCCTCTCCTTCTCCTTCCTAGGCTGCTGGACAGGTTGTTGCTCCCCCTCATACTCCTCCCTAACAGGCGCCATCTGCGCAACAATCCGCGCCTTCTGCGCCTCCAACTCCTTTTTCCTCAGCCTCGCTTCCTCCTCCTCCTGTTCGTCCTCCTCCATCCTTCTCTTCCGCAGTCCGCCCTCTTCTTCCACAATCCCTCCGTCAAGTCCACGTGTAACAGTTCTCCTGCCCAACGGGCTCTCCTTCACCGCTTGCAACTTCCTCAACAACTGGTTTTCACGCGCACTGGAAGCCGCACCACTGGGTCCAGTGGGATTGCCCATGAGCAAAGGCTGCCTCGCCGAGCTTAGCAGTGCCGAGATAGGCGAGCCAGGCTGAACGGCCTTCTGGAACTCCTTCTCCTGCTGTGCGATGCTGGTGGTGATGCTCTTGCTCGCTGCAATGCCTCCAGACGCAGAAGCCGGCATCGTCGCCATGGGGTACTCCTCGTCCAACAGCGCGTACTTTCTCAGGCGCTTCAAGTTGGTGTCCGACACGGATTTGGATATGTGTCTAAAGTCCGGGGTGCCATCGTGTGCAGATGTGGGGATGTATGAGGGGACGGGGCCTTGTGTGAAGAATGCGTGGTCGACGATTTCGTGCAGGGTTGGACGTTGTGAGGGATTGGGAGTCAGGATTTGTTGGATGAGGTGTTGAACTGCCCCGGAGATGACGCGGTCTGTGGGGAATTCGTATTCGTTGTCGCGGATGCGCCTGAAGTCACACATCAAAATGGGAAATCAAGAATTAAATCGAAAAGCTTACTTGTAAATGGCTTTGACGTCTTTGGTCTGGAAGGGAGGACGGCCGACGACGAGTGTGTACAAGATGACGCCAATAGACCATGTATCAACCTCGAAGCTGTGTCCGTTCGCAGTGTCGAACAACACCTCGGGTGCGATATAATTTGGGGTGCCGCAAATGGTCTTCTTCCTCTCCCCAGGGTTCTCGATGAGTGCGGCGAGGCCAAAGTCGCCCACCTTGATGTTCATGTTCCCGTCGAGGAACAAATTGCCGAGCTTGAGGTCGCGGTGGATGACCTGGTGGGCGTGCATGTAGTGGCAGGCACCGATGAGCTGGACCATGAAGAAGCGGGACTCTGGCTCGGAGAAGCGGCGACGGCGGCGGAGCATGTCCATGAGGGAACCAGAGGGGCAAAGTTCGAGAGTCATGTAGACGTTGTCATCGTCTTCGAAGCATTCTTGAAAATTAACGATGTTGGGGTGCTGTAGGGATTTGTGAATCTTAATTTCTGCGTAAAGCTGAGGGCGTGTGTTAGTTGAGCGTTCTGAGGTAACAGAGAGAGAGTAATTACTTTAGTTTTCGCCTTTTTCGTTTTGAGTGAAGACTTGGTGACGACCTTGCACGCTAGTCGGTGTCCGCGTACGTCCTTGACTTCGTATACTCTCGCAAAACCACCCTAAAATAGATTCTAGTTCGTATTTAGAAAAAGGAAATTAGGAGAACAGACCTCGCCGAGAAACCCCACACGGTTGAACTGGAGTCTCCCCGACTGGTCAGTGATAATCTTAGGTGGCGAGGGTGGCGTCGTCTTGCTGTTCTGCCTAGGCAACGGCGGCGACGATGGAGCCTTTGGAGGAGGTTTTGGTGGTTCTTGGTGGTTGACAGGCTTGTGGTGGTTGACTGGAGCATTTGTGAGTGGGTGACGACGTGAAGGGCCCTGCGGGGGTGCTGCGGGCATGCGATTGTACTGGACTGGGTACATTTCTTGAGGTTGGCCTAACGCCGTTTGAAGAAATTCTGGTTGAGGTGGCTGGTAAAAGTTAAAACATGCGGCAATCGCGTTGTTTGACCACGTGCATGTTCAACGAAATGGTCATGTGGTCGTGTTGCATGACATCACATCGCGTCCAACAATCTAATTGTCTGCGTGTCAATTCACATTCCGAGTAGCTGCCGGACCAACGAGAATGCAGCCATTTAAAGTTAAAAAGGCGATTCGAGGTCAGCTGTGAAAAGTGGTAAGTTTTCGATGTTTTTTCGTCATATTTTCACTACAACGTACAACGGACCAGCGGAACCTCCCCATAAAATTCCTATCGACGACAAACGAGTTCTACCTACCAAGTCTAACAAAACCAAACAATGGCTTCTTCTTCTTGCCAACTTCGTGAAACACGCTAAATCAGAAACTTACCTAAAAGCAGAAAACTTACTGACAAGCACGAAAATGCAGAGACTTTTGCAACCACAAGTTGGAATGGCTAGATTTGAGAGGTAAGTGTGTGAATACCCGCATAACGGCAAAACTAACGCTTACTAACGTTTACTTTGAAGTTCATGCATTAGAAGTTAACAATGAACTGACGCGGAAGACACTTATAGTTTAGTGAGTGATGTAGCAAACACGGCGAAGCAATCACGAGCGTCAACGACCTTCAAAAGCAGTAAGTAATCACTTAGCACTCTAACAACGTAAAACTCACTCAAATTTGAAAGGTACAACGCACGGCATGTTTGAAGAAGATCAACGCCGTACCCAGCACGTTTGGCGGACGTTGCTGATACGTCCTGAAGACCTTGGCGTGGATTGGCGGCGATAACTTCGTGGCGAAACAAAGCTTCAAACGGCTAAATGTGAAAGGTAAGTCCGTGGATACTCGCATAACAACAAAAGTCAACGACTTACTTTGAAAAGTCGACAGTAGACTCAACAACGGACTCGTGTTGAAGGCGGCTACGGACGTTGCAAATGCCGGGAAACCTTCGCAATGGTCACGCACGTAAACGACCTTCCAAAAAAGTAAGTAATCACATCAGCAGTAAAGGAAACCAGAACTCACCTATATCCAAGGGTTACAACATGCGGCCAATTCCACGACGTCCCAAACAGGTTTGGCGGACGTCGATACGTCGTGGCGGGCTTTGGAGAAGCGAACTTTGGCATGCGGCGACGTGTCTTTAGTGAACGGCTGTAAATCGTGGCTAGGTTGGAGGATTCCTGAAGCTGAACGGTGGCGTACGACCGTTTTGCGGACGACGATACGTCGTCTTGGGACCAAGGGGTGCAGGACGTTGTGGGACAGTCCGAACGGCTGTACCTCGTGCCGAAGCCTGGCGGATCGATGGCGACGTTGAAGGGTTCCTGAAACTAAACGGTGGCGCACTACCGTTTTGCGGACGACGATACGTCGTCTTGGGACCAGGAGGGGTGCAGAACGTTGTCGAACAGTCGGAAAAAGTCGAGGTAGGATAATACATCGGAGGTGATGTGTTTCAGAGGCTGGAGGGTGGTGCGCGTCCGTTTTGCGGATGACAATACATCGTTTTAAGGCCTGGAGTGGTGGGAAACGATTGAATAAAAAAATCAGCGTGATCCACGTTTCGCGGAAGACGATATATCGTTTTCCAGCCTAGGAGGGTAGGCTGGTAAAACTCACTCATATTTCAACGGGCGGCATGTTTTCGAGACATCAACGCCGTCCCTAGTACATTTGGCGGATGTCGATACATCTTGAAGAACCTCGGCGTGGATTGGCGGCAATAACGTGGCAAAACAAAAATTCAAACGCTAAATATCAAAGGTAAGTCTATAGATGGTCGTATAACAACAAAGGCTTACGACTTACTTTTAAATTCCGACACTAGACTCGTCACAACTCCACGACGGACTTGCGTGAAGGGCGGCTAGGGTACTAAACCTTCGGAAGGTGGCAACAACCTACTTAAAAAATGTAAGTAATCTCCTCAGCACTGAAAGCAATGCAGAACCCACCTATTTCCGAAACCTACGACACGCCCATATGGCAAAACATCGACGACATCCCACGCAGATTTCTCGGACGTTGATACATCCTGGGAAGCTTGGGAGGACGTGGCGACGCAAGGAAATAATTGAATGACAATGGTACATTGAACCATTTGCTATATCTCCACAAATTGACAGTCGTTCCAGCCCACAACGTCGATTAAAAATAAGAGAAGAGTTCCGGGAAGACCACGTCGTGCCCATATAGTGACCGCCGGAAGTCGATGGATTGCGTTGAGGGAAGGCAAGACGGTGATGACTCTGAACGAATCTAGAAGCTGGAGAGGGGCATGCCACCATTTTGCGGAAGACGATATGTCGTCTTGGGGGCAACGCCGAGCGTGCAGGGTCATGTGGAGCAGTCGGAAAACTCGAGGAGGGATTTCGGAGGCTGGAGGGTGGTGGGCGTCCGTTTCACGGACGACGATACATCGTTTCAGGGCATGGACTCGGTGCACGCCGGGACATTGTGCAAAAGTGGGGAAGGGTTGAATAAAAAATTCATCGTGTTCGCATCCAATTCGCATCGGTGCACATGTGTTTTGCGGAAGACAATATATCGTTTTCGTGCCTAGGGACATGTAGGATGGCGGTGGCTGTTGATAAAGTGAAAGGAGGACAAGGGCAGGCTAAAAGTAATTCAGTCTTGCTTGCTTGAACGTTCGTGGACACTAACATACCTTTGCAGACTCAACGTACCCCCGTTTGGTGGACGTTGGTATATATAGTCAAGATGCCAGATGTAGGCAATGGTCGACAATAGCAATTGCAGCGAGTCTACGAGCACACGAGAACTCTGATAGATTGGTAAGTATCATCCACACATTATTGAAAAGATGAACGACTTGCATTGTATTTGAAAAAAGCCCAGCGTCACAGTGCTTCGCACTGCTCACCTCAAAGCCATCCTTTGTTTGACACAAGGCCTTCTTCACTTGACTACGAGGCTTTGACTCTGGGCCAGTGGTCCGCTCGCCGCGGGGCCAAAACTTGAGAAAAAGCATACAAATCTTTGAAAAAAATGTCAGTACCAGGCCATACATTCTGAATATCCAAAAGACAAACACTCATTCAAGGGGGTAGCGGGACGTGGATCCCGCACCAAGGGTAGGAGGGGGGGTGTCCGGCCGAAGGCCGAAAAAAAAAAGTGACACCCCATCAATTTTCAGATTTTGAAGGGCAGCAACATTCCAGCTTCGGACACGGACGGTCCAAACCAAGAGTACTATCACCTACGTCGACACACCCTACACTCCCCACGCCGCCCCAGGCCAAGTGCCTCTTCCTTCTCTGAATGAGTTACACCACTCGGACGCTTCACTTTCTTTCTCGGCCTACACATTAAAGAGTCACTTTTGAAGATTTATCACATGCACAGTAATGAAGAAATGCCCTCTCATTCTGTACCGTCAGTAGCCGTCAGTGTAGCTACTTACCCAGGATGATCCGTCTTTAAACAAGCTTTTTCAATATCATGCTAGCACAGGCCCGTTATATGCATCTTCAGTGGACTCGACTTAGCTTAAACTTAGTTTACGGCCAACCGCCTGTGCGCAGTTGACTTGTTACATGGAAATATTTTGAATTCAAAAAAAAAGAAAAAAATGAGTGTGGGAAAAACATACTTCATTAGGAAGGTAATGGTGGGGGGGTGTCAGGCAGAACCCTGAAAAAAAAATAACGAGTGTTGGTCTCTTTTCCACATTCCGCCACCCCCTTGCACTCATTAAAAAGAAACACAGGTCCTCGAGGTGCTGTGCACCTCTCGCAACGGCCCCAGACGACAACGGGTGACAGCTGGGGGATACACAATTACACATAGCAGCGAATATGTTGATGACGAAGCATCGGTTGAAAGCAAAGAGGTCCGCTCGCTGCTGGGCCAAAACCTTGGAGGCTAGACATAGTGTGCTGTAAGCTGATATCGGGTTTGTGGGTAGAAGGAATATTGTTGCTGAATATGCCCACCAAATCATATAGGCTGTGGCATGCTTGAGAGGATACACCTGGCATGGCGTTGGCTGATATCGGGTTTGTGGGTGGAAGGAATATTGTTGCTGAATACGTCCACCAGATTATATAAGCTGTACCACCTTGAGTACTGGCCTATGCTTGAGAGGATAGACCTGGCATGGCGTTGGCTGATAACAGGGCTTTTGTGGGTAGAAGGAATATTGTCACTGAATACGTCCATCAAATTGAATAGGCTATATTGATGTATGACCTGACTTGACACAGAAGGAACTGCTGAGGAGAATAAGGGATTTTTTGGCATGGTCAATGATGAACAAAATACCTGAGATGAATGGGTGGATAGCACATGTTCAATGCTTTTGACAAATAAGGGTGCATGAAAAATAAAACATAGGGAGGAGTGGCATTACGACACCCTAGGAAGAGGAGAGAAGGATATGACTGGGTTAAAAGTTCCAGAGCTTTTATACCTGGAGATGCCAAGTCCTACGGGGATCTGCGAGGTATGTAATGATTTGTTGAAATTTTCTGACTTGCTGGTTATTTTCGCGACGGCCTGGGCAAGCAACCCTATTTCCGTCACTGATCCCACTGACTTGCCCGATCAGACATTTTTGTACCTCAAGTTTTTGGCATCCCATACTGAAATCCTGCCGGAATTGCTAATTTTGATAGATACAATGTAAAGCCTTTCGGTTATTAGTTCAAAATTGACTTGATGCTTTGAATTCCGGTCACTTATTTGTATTGTGTGAATTTACCATTTGTATTCATAATCTTTACCACTACCACATTTTTTAAACAAAACGAACTCGACTATCCTGAACAAGTATATCTTGCAGGGATTGGTCCAAGAGTTGGACTCTCGGACATTATGGGATGAGTACGGCATTGATGAGGATATCACGGTGGGTTGACTGTTCAATATTTATCATTCATGAGTTACTTACAATCTCATTTAGCCATTTACATACCATTTTCCACGAGCTGACATCCATGAGCTGTTGTCTGCAGATCTGCTGCACCAGCTCATCAAGGGGACTTTCAAGGACCACCTCGTTCAATGGGTTGGCAACTACCTGTACCTTGAACATGGTGAGGTGTGCACTAACGAGATCTTAGATCAAATTGACCGTCGGTAAGTTTTTATTTGGACAACACTACAAGTTTTCTAAAGCAAAGTTTAGTATCGCAGCAGCACCTGCATTCCCTGGTATCCACTGCTTCCCTCATGGCCGACGTTTCAAGCAATGGATGGGAGATGACTCCAAGGCATTGATGAAGGTAAGTCTTAAGCACAACATCACCTACCATCTTCCTGACTTCAACCTATAGGTTTACCTGCCAGCTATATCAGGATTTGTACCCACCAAAATGGTGCAGTGCATTTCCGCATTTCTGGATGCATGCTACATCGCCCGCTGAGCTGATATCACAGAGGATTCACTCCAGGAGCTTGAGGCAGCCATCAAGAGGTTCCATACCCATCGCGAGATCTTTCGCACATCCAGTGTCCCGGTGTCCATCCAACTGGCTTCAACCTCCCTCGTCAACACTCCCTTGTCCACCTAATCAAGCAGATCCAGGAGTTCGGTGCTCCTGGAGGACTCTGCTCATCTATCACTGAATCTTGCCACATCACTGCCGTCAAGAGGCTGTGGCGCCGCTCTAATCGATATGAGGCCCTTGGCCACATGTTGCTCACTAACCAACGCCTTGACAAGCTCATCTGCACTTGTGCTGATTTCGTCACACATGCCATGTTACCTCCAACTCATGTGCCACCCCCAAAACCAGTCCTTATCCCTGACGACGATGGCGATGTGGGAGTGATTGATGAATATGTAGCTGGGAACGTTACCCTTGCTAGGACTAGAGGTGCGTGTTCACAGTTACTATTTTCTGAGGCTTGCCATTTACCTTGGTTTCTTTGTTATAGCACATACCTATCCTCGCGGCCTCAAGGACCTGGCTCAACATATCCAGCACCCAGAGCTCATTGAGCTCACCCAACATTTCCTTTATGACCAACTACACACAAATGATGGCACCTCGTCAGCCAATGTTCCCCTACAACAATGTCCTCACCCATCCAGCAAAATCTCGGTGTTCCATTCCGCGGTCGCCACATTCTATGCACCTAGCGACAAGTCCAGCATCAGGGGCATGAGGACTGAACACATCCGTTCAACCCCTTCATGGCAGAAGCAAGGGCTGCGATATGACTGTGTGCTGGTTGTCGACGATGAAGACAAGCCCGGAATTCAGGGGATGAGTGTGGTCAGGGTCAACCTTCTCTTCTCATTTACCCATGATGTGAAGACATACTCCTGTGCCTTCGTTGAATGGTTTAAACATGTCGGTGCAAGGCCTGACCCTGAGACGGGTATGTGGAAGGTCAAGCCTGACACATACAGAAACAGCCAGCGTATCATCTCTGTTCTCCACCTAGACACCTTCCTTTGTGGTGCTCATATTCTACTGGTGTTTGGGAGAGATTACGAGGTCTTATCAGTGCCCCCCTAATTCCTGCAGGATTCTGGTCATTCCTGTGGATTCTGGTGGATTCCAGAGGAATGAAATTTGGCAGGGAGTCCTGCTATTTTCTTCATTCTGGTGCTTTACCATTCTGGTGGAATTTCGGCATTCCGGAATTGTGACCAGAATGGTCCCCGGATTGGCAAAAATGGAATGCACAACCGGAATCCAGTTTGTTGTTTGTTTGGCAACGGCTTTCATGCTTGTCCAAACACAACCCTCTCTCCTCCCACCACCACCAACGTCCCCGCTCCTCGTAAATGCGCGCCCGCTACCCACCCACGCCACGTCACCATGGTCACCTGTGGCCACCACTGCCCACAAACGTCGTCGACCACGAACAACAACCACGTCAACAACAACGCGGCAACGCCATGTCAGCAAGCAAATGAGCCCCGGTGAGGTTGAGGCGACGAAAATGGACCGTGAGGGACGACCACATCAACACACAACCACCATGACCACGCCCACGGACCACGACATGCCCCACGACGTCAACGGACGGCCACGTCAACAGACGCCAACGCCAACAACGACACGAACACGCCAATGGACGCCCACGTCAACAGATCAC